GAATATTTTGGTTGCTCATCAAATGTATGTATTGTAGTTAAAAACTGAGCTGTTGACAGACATTTTGAGAAATGCATAATGTTCATGAAACAACGAGGGTGACAGGGACAAAGTTCTGTTGAGATATGAATCAAGTGCATGAGAATGGGCATGTTATGAAGGTAGATATGGTGCAAAATGCGAGAGCGTGTAAAACCTGATGTGAGCACTTGCAGCAAAAAAATCTGAGCTTGTGTGCATACATTTACACTTGTATAAAAATATCCACGTATCTGTGAACCACATTTGAAGTCACAGAAGAAAAAAAAAAGTTTTGTAGCTTGTAGAAAAAAAATGAACTTAGTGATGAAATGTTCACTTGCAGAAAAATATATATTTTTTAAACATATTTTCCATTACAACTGCAACTTGGTTATTACAACCTCTCAAATCAGTCATTACAACTTCACGAATCTGCTCTGTGGCAGTATAAATCGACGAATCTGCGGCCTTGACTTTTGCTACACTTCTTGCGATGAATGTGTCGCTAAAGTAATTTTCACCTGTAGATGTGGGGGGAGGGAGGGGGGTTGGAGCGAAGGGGCGGAGCTATCAGAACGACGAGGCTCTAGAGTCAGTCACACACAAGTGACTACTGTTGCCCCGGGCCCTTTCACACCAACGCAGCTCCCGTTCTAGCTCCGTGCTTCGCTCACAACAACAACAATGGGGGACTGCGTCGGGTCGATGATCGTGTTACTTTTAATCATACGAAGCCAGATTAAATTAAATAACTACTTCTCCAACCTTGTACTTTTCTCCAGAGTGCCGTGGTTTATTGTTTATTAATGTGTTACAGCGGCATACTGACCGCTGCAGTGCTGCTCGTCCACTGGAGTTTATTCTCCCGTTAACTCACAGCAGCGGCCGCTGTAAAGTAGGCATATTCACTGTCTGACTGTCACACAAGCAAGCAGCTGATAAATATCCCCAAGTGTGTTTATTTTACAAATGCGTTCTAGTCACTTTGCTCAGCGCTACTGCTTGTTTCAACTTTTATTTGCCGTAGGCTACTCTCCATAAACTGTTAGTTCAGGTTAATCTCGCACCCCTCCGACGTAAGCGTGACGTATGCGGTTCTTGCCTAGACCGACACTTTTTTCGAGCTTGGTAAGAACCGGTTTTCGTGGAAAAGAGCCGTCTCCGCTGCGACGTGAACAGGAAAAACCGGTGCTTATCAGGCACAAGCTCCGAACAGGCCCTGGAACGGCGTTGGTGTGAAAGGGGCAACATGCAGGGCCCCGCAGTCATCCGGTTCGACCTGACTATGGCCGTGTGACTGACCCGAGCTTGCGCTTCGTCGTTCTGATAGCTCCGCCCCTTCGCTCCAACCCCCCTCCCTCCCCCCACATCTACAGGTGAAAATTACTTTAGCGACATATTCATATTCATCGCAAGAAGTGTAGCAAAAGTCAAGGCCGCAGATTCGTCGATTTATACTGCCACAGAGCAGATTCGTGAAGTTGTAATGACTGATTTGAGAGGTTGTAATAACCAAGTTGCAGTTGTAATGGAAAATATATTTTAAAAAATATATTTTTTTCTGCAAGTGAACATTTCATCACTAAGTTCATTTTTTTCTACAAGCTACAAAACTTTTTTCTTCTTCTGTGGCTTCAAATTTGGTTCACAGATACGTGGATATTTTATACAAGTGTAAATGTATGCACACAAGCTCAGATTTTTTTTCTGCAAGTGCTCACATCAGGTTTTACAAGCTCTCGCATTTTGCACCATATCTACCTTCATACATGTGTCACAAAAAAAAACATTAAGGTATCTTTCAAATAATTAATTTCTATCTTTTTGCACAGCTGATGGAAGACATGCTGTCGGTATGGCATGATTGGAGCTTTGTCTAAATTAAATTATAAAATACATAATAATTACCTGTTGCGGCTTGTCAATGAATCCAGAATCTTCTCCAAGCCCGAACCTGTCTTCACAAAATAATGCGCTGCTCTCCTCGGTGTGTGTCGTCTGAGAGCAGCCGGCAGCACACTGCACTCCGACACACCGGCAGCACACTGCACTCCGACACACACACAGTACCACACACACACACACACACACACACACACACACACACACACACACACACACACACACACACACACACCACACACACACACACACACACACACACACACACACACACACACACACACACACACACACACACACACACACACACACACACACACACACACTTTCGAGGAAGCAGAACTCGCGCCGTGCCGACTAAAAGCCACATTAAGTATTAATATTGATAGCCTATCTGTGGTGGAATTCTTTCAGCGTTATACCGCAAAACCCAACGACTAACACACAACTTAGATAATTTCCCACGGGCTCATATGAAACATATACAGTTTGGTTCCTAATCAGTGGCGACTGGTCATTAGGGGCACAGCCCCACCTAGTGTCAGCAGAAAGTATTACAAATAATATTTACAATTTTTTTTTTTTAAATATAAAATATATTTTAAGATCATGTTTAATCATCTGATTCGTCTGTACATTGCTGTTTTAGTCTGTGTTCTTCTAATTAGTGTCTACAGTGTGTGCCTATTGAGCTGTTTAGAGCCATGTGGGACAAAACCTGATCATGCCCCTCCCTGTCTAACTGAATGGTGACTGTAAAAACTACACTGCGCATGCTCAGAGTATTTTCCTATTTAATGTGTGTGGCAAAAAAATAATGACCATAGGGGCACTGAGCTGCCATCCCCACCATACGTCATCTCCATAGACTGTATATATAAAGGTCATCTCACATAATTCAGAGCTGACTGGCTGTAAGTACGTGTGCCGCGAAAAGTGTGGTGTGTGAAGAGGAGACGAGAGAGGTGCAGTGACGCGTCCTAAAACCCGGAAGTAAGCTGCGCATGGCTTCCCTCGACAAAAAAGCAATGAGATTTCTCCATAGGATTTTAGAAAATAGCTCTAAATAAGATCTGTGGGAAACGTACCTGTTAGATAAATGCACGTTTTGTTCAGCCGGATAATATCCACATGTCTACCCTACTTTTATAATTTTTGAATTATAAATCTATCGATTAGATTTATGATAGACTTTTGAAACTACAAGAAGATAAGGAGGACTTTTACAAAAAAGTAATAGAAATGTTTGTCCAGAAGGATAGGCAAATGGACTTCATCTTCAAGTCAAGGTAAGACCGCAATTTTATTGAAAATGGGATCTCACTAAGAGAGAACAATTCAATATTTAAATGATAAAATTACATTTTTTGTGTATCCTTTTGTTGAACTGTCTGTTTAAAATTAATCGAAGCATCAGACAAAAAAAGCTTTTGAAAATAATATTATATTTTGGTTTAGGTCAAAATATAATATTTGTAAACCTGAAGAGTCAGTGCCAGTGCCTCACCAGCCATGAACCTCACTGCACGTCACAGCAGAAGCTTATAGACATCTAAGTTTTTTGTGCCCCACCACTTTTGTACATATAAAAATGCCACTGTACCTAATACAGTGTGAGAAGTGGTGTGTCTCTATTATCGGATGCGGTTGTAGTATCACTGAATGGAGTTTATCATGTTGTATCCTGGCCAGGCACGTGAAGAGGATGTTATAGGGGAAGGGGCTGAAATGCAGAAAAGGGCACATTGGCGATTTTGGTTGTAATAATTTAATAAAAACATTCCTGTAATGAGTATTTTCTGTGACAGTGTTAAAGGAATAGTACAATGTTTGTATTAAAACGAACCGATGACTGAGGCTGGGTCAAACACTGCTTCATGTCAGTTATTACAAAGTAAATGCAAATAAATTAAGTGTATTTCAGTAAATTAAACTTTTACCCTCTGGCTGACAGAAGCTCTGCTGACAGAGATGCACTTTCTCTCTTATTTATAAAACAGTATAAACTCTAATGCAGGCATCCACAAAGTCCGGATCCGGACCGAACCACAACTGCAGGGCCGGCCCTAGACATTTTGGTGCCCTAGGCGAGATTATGATTTGGTGCCCCCCCCCCAGCCTGAAACTCCAAGTTCTTGGATATATAAACCCAGACACCCAAAAGCTATCTAATCTAATATCTATCTAATTATCCATCTACAAAATAAAAAAAGTGAAATTCACTTTGCATAGTACACTTTTACATAATTAAAAATGTGTCATCTTGCCCGACTCTCCCCATGTTCTTATTACATAGCTGTACAGTTTTCATTGTTCATTACATGTTACTTGTTAGATGCTTTTATCCAAAGCGACTTACATACTCAATACTGTGGGCAATCCCCACAGGAGCAATTTGGGGTGAAGTGTCTTTCCCAGGGACACAACGACATGCTGACTGCAGTGGGGTTTGAACCTGTGACCTCCTGACCCCCATACCAAGGCTCTATCCACTGCGCCACACGCCTCCACCTTGTTCATCAACAATGTAGAAAAAAAGAACAAAGCAATAGGGAAAGAAAGAAAAAACATTAAATGAAAATAAGTGATCAAGCATTTGACATTTAGTGTTGTATACAACTGCCGTCCCTGACCTATACTACCTGCACTCATCATCTGATGGAAGGTCACTGCTGCCATCTGGCTGTTAGAAGGGGAAAGATGCATTTTATTAAAAATGAACACTGGAGCCTATTTTATTGACTTTGCACTGAGTGTCTTATTATTCATAGATCTTGCTTGCTGTAGAGGTTTTTACAAAAGCACTCTCTTTAGTAGCCTATCAGAAACTATTTTCTCTCAATTTGTTAAATTACATTATTCACAGAAACAAACTGAACAATAAGTACTTTGTTAATAAAATATATGATATTAATATAATGATATCATAACATATAATAAAGATTGTGTTCATTGATGAATGTGATGTAGGCTACGCCGATCTGATTTTGTCCTGCTGGCCACATCACGATGTGCCTCGCACGGATCTCAGATCTGTTCTGCTTTGTTTCCAACGCGGTTTTTTTCTTCCGCCTGGACTGTCGTCTGTTGATGACGTTGAGGTAATGGCTGCTCTTGCTTTGCCGTGAGGAATGCCTTTTCTCTCCACCATAGCTGTTAAATTAAACCGCATGATAATATTGTAGAGTGTTAGAGAACAACACCACAGGAGAGGGGAGTTCTTACCGCAGCAGTGCCGTCTTTGAAGAGCTCCGGGTCGGCAAGGTGAATAAATGTGTGCTCGTTAGCCGCTAGCTGAGTGTAGCTGCACATTAGCCTAAAGTTAGCTTCATAGGAGGCTGCATTGTTAACAGAAACACAGACCAGTGTGCTGCACAGTTCGCACATTGCTGGAGAAGCTGTGCCATGCCGGTTAGGTCACATTAACCGGTTAATTTGTGAAATAGTTTTAGGAATACATGGGCAGAGTTGGTGAGTGCGGTGTGGTCGCTGCTCGCATTCACGGAGAGATAAGGCCTTGTTGCCTCCTCGCGCGACCGAGCTATTAGAAGTGTGTTCCCCTGCAGGAACACTTTATATTTACGATCTCTGGCATGCTGTGTAATCATGTACACATCCTTAGATGACTTGCCCCAACGAAACATTTGAAGACGAGGGTTTGAGCTCCCAGCGTCACCACTGGCAGATCACGTTAACTTATTTGTTAGCTAGCTGGCTATTGATCACGTTTCATTTGCTGTTGAATTGGCAGCGCCGTAGTTCCTCCTGTTGTCAATTATACATATTGCTATGTCTTTTCCTCATAGAAAGGTTTTTTACATTAAATGATATTCCTCTTTGCGATAGATAGTTTTATTAGATTGCTAGCGAGTTTTCTTTACTCGGGAAAAGTACACATTAATGACAAACAAACACAGTTTGCTTTCGTAGACCATTATATGATCTGTTGTATTATGAAAAGTGGGACATTCCAATCTCAAATTAAAGGTCTGGTTTGCTTATTTAGTTGGCATATATAGGGTGATAGTATGTGTAACATCTCTTGTATACAGAACTTAGTTTGTCTGATGGGTTTTAGCTGCTTGCAGTTGAACAAACTGGGTGCATAATTTAAATGTGTTCAGCTTAATTGTTTGGAAAATATTCCAATATATGATATGGTATGTAACCTGGCTGACGTGTACGGTTGTTCAAGTTAGGTTTTTGAATAGATTCTGGCTTGATGTTTTCATTATATAGAAAAACACAAATGTTCACTATTCAACATGTTTACTTGGACGTTTCAATGTGACTGGTTTTCACAAACTACTATATTTCTGTTTACTCTAGAATATTCTCTAATGGATACTCCTGAAAGCCATACCCAATCCCCTCAGTCCCCTGAGGAGGAGGAGGAGGAGGAGGAAGAGAAGGGCCTTTCTGACAGTGAGCTGCTGGATTCTCCTGATGAAGATGAAGATGGGGTAATCTCAGACAGTGAGTTGGTCAATGAAGAGGAGAATGGGGGACTTGAGGAGGAAGAAGACATGTTGGAAAGCAGAGGAAGAGGATCGGAATTAGAGGAGGAAAGGGATGAAGACGATGAGGTTGTCCCTGACTTTGTCTCAGACCCTGAAGATGAGGAGCCTGAAGGAGTAACAGGAGGGATGGAACCTGAGGATGGGACCATTTTGCTGATGGAGGGGGATGAAGATGGTCCGCAGGGAGGCCAATTGGATGGGGAGGACGAGAAGAAAGGAATGGAGCCAGAGGAGGGAGTCTTTGACACCCCGCAGTCTCCAGACTCCGAGCCAGAACAGGGCAAGAGCTTTATTGCTGAAGAAGATGAAGAAGACGGGGAGGAAGGATACGGATACAGCAAGGATGACTCAGCAGATCCATTGGCAGCTGAGGTGGATGACGAAGACAAAAGTAAGGCAGTCGCAGAGAAGAGGATGAGAGCTCAGGAAGAGGAGAGGAGAAAAGCGGTGGCAGTGAGGGACCTGAAGGATGACTCGGTGTCTGTTTCCCGGGAGGTAGACGAGCACGAACTTGATTACGATGAGGAAGTCCCAGAAGAGCCCAGCATCCCTGCACCTGACGAAGAGGAAGATGAGGAAGAAACTAAAGCAGCGGTAGAAGAGGAAGAAAATGAGGACAAGAGATCTAAGAGGAGGGAGAAGAAACCTATCCTTCCCCCTTCCCCTAAAGACAGTGAATACAAGAGGACAGGCGACTCCAAAGGCCCCGAGAGGATGCGCAGAGATTCCTTCAGAGACAAAAAGAAGGAGGAGGATGATGGAGAGATTGATGAAGGGGAGATTGATGTAAGTGTTCCCAGTTTGAATGCTATACAGGGGTTTTTCTAGAAAGATATAGTATGAGGGCGCTAAAGTCACTTCCGGGCCCGCCCTCTTTCCGGACAAAATAATGTATTATCGACGCGGAAAATAATAGTTTCTTAATGTCTTGAAGCTGCTGAGTCATATATAGCACCTCAAACAACAAATTAATCCAGAGTTACGGTTTCTTTATTTCCTCTACAGACAGTTCAAATAAACTATCTAATTTAGAAATCACAGTTTCGGGGTTAGCCTGCTGCCTGCCACTCGTCCACCGGCAGACCGACCAGACATCCATCCCCTATTGATTCGGAGCTCTGTAAAAACAAAGCTGTGTCTGCCATCTGACAGTCCATTCAACAAGACTTTCATATTTTTGGAGTAATTATACAGTTTTTCACAAACAGAAATATTGTTTTTCTGGCATCACTTTAACATTTTACAGGGAAATTCTGCATTTAGGTATGAGGGCGGACGTTAAAAGTAAGTGTGCGCAGTGCCCCTGTTACCCGGTTTAGACAAAACCCTGCTATATTCTTCAGTAGGGTGATTGATGGGGTGCAGGCTAATGGCAACGAAATGCCTTCTGTATATACAAGTTTTGGCAGCTGTTTTTCTAGACTGAAATTCTGAGTTGTGTTTTGTTTAATTCATCAATACAAAACTTTTTTAAATTGTAGCTTTTGATTTTATGGACTCGACAGTTAGATGTCCTAAACTTTTCAAAGCATTGGTCAGGGGCCTATTAGGGTTTAGTTCAATGGACCTGCATTGGCTAAAATAAAGCCGTTTTTAAATGTTGATCCTTTCCTGGATGTACTCTTCTGTGTTTTGTCCACCTCAGCCCGCTAGTCTTACTGCTCTTCTGCTCTGCAGCCTACACTACAATTTACTATCAAATACCAAATACCATTTTATTGGTTTTTCAGTTGAATTATACTTAAAGTTCAGGGTTCAGGGTCAACTGTTAAAAACATACTGTTCACATTATTCTTTTCAATAAATGTATGTTTTCAAAGTAAATGGATAATCGTTTTTAATAATCGTGATATCAATTATTGACCCAAATAATCGAGATTATGATTTTTGCCATAATCGAGCAGCCCTAATTCAAATCATATAAATAACTTAATAGTTTGAACCAGGACCATTAGTATGTCAGTGAAGTAGCTTGTAAACATGGGACAAAGGCTACACCTATTATTTTAATAACAGACACACATGATTTAATCCTCTGCATGTTCCCTGCTGCTAAGTTTATATAAGTATTGGATCAGACTCCATATCACCAGTTACTCATTAATAAGGAAATTGTATTGGGATCTGGATAAAACAACTTTATTGAGACATCCATACTGAACAATATTTATAAAATAATGCATTAAAAATGCTTAAATACCATTAGTACACTAAAACAATTCCGGTATGGTGTCATCCCTAATGATTCATATGTAGGATTCGTTCAGACCTTCTTATGTGTCATGATGTGTTATGTCTGGGCAGGATGATGACCTGGAGGAGGGGGAGGTTAAAGACCCGTCCGACAGAAAGATCAGACCACGTCCCATCTGCAGGTTCTTCATCAAAGGTAGGTCTGTGTGTGTGTAAATCACACTCAGAACATGGATTGCCAGATTATTTTTTCGTACTTGCTAGTCAGATCCTTTGTAGTTTAGCCTTGTCAAAGTAAAACACTCTGAAATAAAGTATTTGACTTAAGACTGTATGTCAGTGATTGTTATGTTCTACAGCAGGGAGAGTCATTGTACTTAAAATAGATTTGTTTCTTTTTCTACTGCTCATAGTAAGACATGCACTCGATTAAAAACATGGAGATTAATCAAAATGTAATTCTTTCTTAAAACACCATATTGTTGCATCCATCATTACACTCTAATTTGATAATTTAGTTCGTACCAAAAAAGTATGACAAAGTGGTTATGGTATCAACTGATTGTAAACCGGTACGTTGTTTTTTTTGTCCTCCAGGGAATTGCACTTGGGGTATGAACTGTAGGTTCATCCACCCTGGAGTCAATGACAAGGGTAACTATTCTCTCATCAGTAAGCCTGACCTCTTCTCACCTAATGGTGCGCCTCCTGGAGGACCACACCCACTCATACCCAACAATCCCTGGGTAAGTATTTGTTGCTTTGGTTAAACACTCAAAAACAATGTATAATTTGGGGCATTTTGAAAAAGCTGCTGTACAGATTAAAACATAAAGATTAAAAAATGGACCCGAATAAAATGTCCAGAACTGTATCTCTCTGCGAGCATTTGTACAAATATTAGGCAACTGTTCCCACGTTAGGTTGGACCTGCAGTGGAGGAGCTCCCCCCACCTCCTCCTCCAGTGGAGCCTCCTGTGGAGAGTGCCTGGGAGCGAGGTCTAAGGCATGCCAAAGAGGTAACACTACTATGAAAATTCTCTTCATGTCATCATTAAACCGTGTTGATGCTCTCTTTCACCAACACTTATCAGTGTTTAATCCAGTGGTTGTGTGGTCCGGCTCTGTTTCCCATAGGTGCTGAAGAAGGCCACCATTCGTAAGGAACAGGAGCCCGACTTTGAGGAGAAGCGTTTCAACGTGACCATCGGAGAGGACGAGAGAGAATTTGACAAAGAGAATGAATTCTTTAGAGAACGCAGCTACCGCATCATCAGAGAGTATGACCTTTACATTGAACACATTGTTTTTCTGATAGTGTCCCCTGCACCTTTTGCTGTTACCTTAAAAGTACTTACATTCTTAGGCTACAATAACATCATCTTTGTATTTTTTAAGTTATATTATATATTATATATAACTACAAATATATCCGTGACGAATATGAATAAATAGATTGTTCTGTCATTGATTCAAATGTCTTTTCCTCTTTCAGCGAAATGGAATTCAGAGATCCTGTATATGGGTGAGTGTAGACCAACTTGAACAACTTGAATGAAACTCACTAAGCCTTAGTCTAGACAGATGTAACTGGGAGACCAAGAGCATTGTCTTTTGTATGAAACTGTTGAAAAGGACACTGCCTAACATTTAGGTCACAGTTGAACAGACTATTAATGATTTGTGCACAGCTTTTTGGTCTATGTCTCTTGTCAGAGATGTGCGTATTGCTTATTTAAGTCAGGTAATTCATTAAACAACAGTGTATAAGGCATCTCTGTTCTTTCTGAAAACTGAAAAAAGTCAGTCTGACTCATGAATATATAATAAAAATGTATATCAAGTATTTCCCAATGTGATCCGTAAACATTCAAATAACCTTTGTGGAATATTGCAGTGACCCCTATGCTGATCCATACTATGACTATGAAATGGAGGCCCTATGGCGAGGTGGTCAGTATGAAAACTTCAGAGTGCAGTACACAGAAGCCCCTCTTCCTTACCCCTACAGTGTGAGTATTCTCCGCAGACTGCTCCGAGTGTTCAGGTTGTCAGCGCAAAATCAAGAAACATGTCTAAGCATAGACCAAGCAGAGCACAACATGTGAACAACATGTATAGTGGACAGTACAATGACATGTGAGAGTAATGCTTTTTATTAAGTACAGTCACCACTTGTTCTTTACCTGGACACAGCCTTTTCCTTTAGAAATAAACTCATCAGTAGGAATGAATGGGCCTTAGAATGAGTTCCACAGGAAGACAAACCTTTTTAGCTAGAAAACTAAACATATTTATTTGACAGGAGCGAGAACGTGACCAGGACCCTCGGGAGAGGCACCGGGACCGAGAGAGGGAGAGAGACCACCGTGAGAGGGAGCGCAGGCAGAGAGAGAGAGAGAGAGAGCGAGAGCGCGAGAAGGAGAGGATGCGGCGGAAAGACGAGTGGGAGAGGGACCGGATGAAGCGGGATGAGAAGGAGAGGCCGAGGATGCGTCCTCCTCGAGACCCCAGGGAGAAGAAAGACGAGGACAAAGTGAAACCACGTTCTCCCCTCAGTCTGCCTCCTAAGTAAGTGAAGTTTGAGCTGGCTTCAGGTATAGTGTTTTATTATCTGAGATTTTCCATATCATCTTCTTGGGGTTGTCCTTTACCTGCTCAAAATGATCCCACACTTGAACATAAATAATGTAATGACCAGGGGCCTCATTTATAAAGGGATATACGCTCAAAAAATGGCGTACGCCAGTTTCTACGCAATGTTTGCGATTTATAAAATACTAACTTGACGGGAAAATGTGCGGTCCTCCACGCAAACTCTAACCCATGCGTACGCACTAAGCACAACAACGGGAGAGACGAGAAACTGCGACACCGTTGGCAGAAGGAAGAATGGAGAGAAATATGTGGAAATAAATAAAATGTTACCTCATTTATCAAATATGAAGAATTCATTTTCAAACATTGATTAAAGCCAATCTTAAAATGATTAAACAAACGCCTGTTTGAGACTCCTCAGTGCACACAAAAACATAACTTGGAGAAATAAATAAATACGGATATGTTATTTAAAACCACCTCGAATATGTTGTGTTAATGTTTTGAAATGTTTTCTCATAAATGATGCGGTAAGCAGGAGGACAGAATTACGTCTAAACTGACGCCGTTTTGCTTTTCTATAGGTTGTAGATACGAGCATGGTTTTATATACTATCACGTTTAATCGTGTTTTATGCCGTTTGCCAAGACTTGATAAGTCGCTCGTAAAACACAGGAGGTATGGAAACTAAGAACACCATATGTGGTAAATTGTACAGCTAATATAACACAACACATTGTATTTCCTTTAACTGGTGGATTATGGATATATAGTTGCTGATCGACAGCTGGAACACAAACCACCGAATACAACAAAAATAATTCAGATCCAGTCGTCATGACTCCACTCCGGAGGGATTCCCCGATCATTTCTTAGAGTTTCTCATCAAGGGGGTGTCTCCTGTCCCCGGGACAAACACACTGCCTGAGGAAGGTTATGTGTATTTTTTTTGTCATTAACTTTTTTCGGACCACTTATTTATTTATTTTGGTGACGATCCGACCTCCATGCTGCTACTCTGGTTCAAACTGCATCCACCAAACAATATGATTTATCTCCACCTCCCCAAAATAACCAAAATCTGACACGGTGTGAGATGTCTTTTTTAGCTGTTCGGTCGTAATTTCCTGCGATCTTCTTCATGCAGTCAGTCAGAATGAATGAATGAATGGGCGTTTCTTTGACTATTTATAGGCAAATATGGGCGTTACGTGAAGCCTGCAAAAGCTGCGCCGCATTTCGAGTCGATTGTGATTTATAAAGGGAAACAGGCGTAGGAAGTGCCGGTACGCAATTCCCTCGCCGGTACGCAATGTTTTGTGAATCGGAAAATGTCGGAACATTTCTGTACCTATTTTTTTGCTTTGTACTACGTAAGCAACCTTCTCACGTCAATCCCCAGGCCTGAATGAAGTGTGAAAAAAAACTCTGTCTTGGCTGTGTGAGGGTTCTTCAGCTGAAGAACCCTCACACAGCCAAGACAGAGTTTTTTTTCTTTTTAATATAATGTTTTCAGGAGCACAGAGTTCTTCATTAATCCAGCCTATATGTTTGCTCTTAAAGAAAACCAGATTGATGCATTTAACTTTAAAGGGGACCTATCATGCAAAATGCACTTTTTGATGTCTTTTATACATAAATATGTGTCCCCGGTGTGTCAGGGAACTCACGCAGCGTCAGAAAATAAAACCCTCTCTTTTCCTCCGTACCCAAATCTCTAAAAACGGAGGTACAACGGAGCTGATCCAGATTTGCGTCCGATATGACGTCATTTCGGCAATGCAGACCCACGGCACTATCAGAAACGTTGCTATCAGAAACAATGCCCGACTGTTTTGGACGTAATATGGTTGGTGCATGTTTACATTAGCATCACTAACACTCAGAGCTAACCTGTACTGGAGAGCATGTGTGTGAAGAAGCAGGAAATAAAAAGGAACTCATACTTGATAATCCATGATATGGCGTTTCATCACGGCAGTATCTGCCGGTAGAATCTCCCGCATGAGCAGGAATAAGCTCCGCCCCTCTTTTTTTATCAATTTCTTCTTTTCTTTTTTTAAAGCTTTATACACAAAATCAGCACTTTTGAAACAGGAAGTGAAATAGAAGGATGTGAGGCATGGCTAGAATGGGTGATCTGTTTGGTATTTTGAGCAAAACACTTCATAGACATGTTTTTTATATATTTTTATATATCTGAGACCTATGCTATTGCCTAAAAATAGGATGATAGGTGACCTTTAAAATCTCCTATCATTATCCTCGGGGGGAGTTTACCCCTGGAGCCTTTAGCAGAGGCCTGTACTACGAATCCAGTTCAACATACCCTGGATATGTTTTGAGTTACCTGGCTTACCTAATCCAAAACAAACGCGCTCTCGCTAAGCGGTCCTACGACGCTGGTTATCAATTTGGTAACTCAAGCCAGGGTTTCTCCGTCCGGCTGAGTGCGCGTTCACATGAAAGGGGCGGGGTTAGCAACATTTGACCAATCACAAACAGGGACAAGCGTACTGACAGCGCAGCGTCATACTTCCTGAATGAAAAGTGAACTATAATATTAGACAAATATGAAGAAGTTAAACTTTAAACATCCATGACTTAAACACTTTATCCAGGATAAAAGCCACATAGCTGCACCTGCAAGGTGAATACAGCTGGTAAAAGAAAAAGTGTTTGAATGCGTACATTAACAGGTTTATGATATCACTGCCCCGTCCAAGACACGATCTGACTTTAATTACATTTGACTCGAGTGTTTCGTCAACTTAATGTGTTGCTTAAAATAATACTTCTGCATACAGTATGTGACACTGTGAGTGTTGCACGGCCAGATACGGCTCAGCTGACTCAGATAAGGAAATATATGATACATTATGATGTGATATGATATGAATGATAATGGGACACATCGACGTCTGCACTCACAGTGCCACGGACTGTACGTAATGTTACTCTGATCCGGTTACTTATGTTGTGGCAGATATTTAAGTGAGCTTTCTTAACGCTAATGTTATAATAGTCAGATTGCTCTGAAGATGGGAGGGGATATTCTATAAATGTTCACGTTCACACAGTCAGTTGATTTTTGCCGGCCGTCTTTCCTGCAACGGCAGTTTTTCTGTATTTCCTCTATCCTGTAATATGACTTGATAACTTTAAACTCCGCACACGGAGCTCTGATTGGTCAGCAGGCGGTGCTTTCACTGAGTTGATCTCTTATCCTGGAACCAACCTGCTCCAGAGCAGGTTAGCCGTTCAGCATAAGTTACCATGGAGATCTAGCCCGGTAAGAAGAGAACCAGCGTCGTAAGACCGGAAACCCAGAGTTTTCCCTGAAGTTAGCTCCCTAAGCAAAAATCTGGCTTCGTAGTACAGACCTCTGGTCTGAGGTCAACTCACAACAGTTTCACAACATCCTGTTGGAAACGCTGTAATGACACTGACATGGCAGTATGGTTATACAAAACTATTCCTCTTAATGTGCAATGAAATACTTCAGCTGAGTCTGAAATCTTTCAAGTCATCTTTAAAGCTATACTGTGTGTACAATTATTAGGCAAGTTGTATTTTTGAGGATTATTTTAATTATTGAACAACTACAGTGCTCTGGGTCAATCCAAAATGTTAATAAGCCTCCCTATTTCTGTGTGTGAAATTGTTCCATCCTAAAAAAAATAAAAACTAATGCTTCTGCAGTCTAGCTGCAGCTTCTAGCAACGGTCTTCTGTAAAAGAAATGTCCTGAATGTGGCATCACACACAGGACTTGAGTCTGAACACAGCAGACAACAGGAGTATTTACAACAGCATGTAAAAACAAAAATAGTGCATGTGGGTGCACACTTATTCTCTGTCTTACGGGCCGTCTCCACGGCAGCGTTAAAAAAATCTTGGAGGTGGGCGTATCTGAGGCTTGGGGATTTTTTTGCGATCAACCAATCACATGAATCTCCCGCCCGCGACATATGAAGCCAAAAAGCCCGAAGTAAACTGGATATAAACTCCCCAAAACAGGCGAAAACCTACCACTGTCTCTGCCACCTCCCTCCATGCCTGGCTCCTCCGGTTTATATCCCGGTAGGTCTGGTCATAAAGCACCGGGTGATTGATTCGCTACCGCTAATTTCTCCTCCATGTTTTGGAATATGAGGAAATGACCTGCGGTCTGTCTCTCCCAGCATACACGCCGTTTGATTGGCTAGAGCTTGAACTGTCAGATTTGCGTACACGGGATTTGATTGGCTGACGCTTCCGCCTCAGCTTCAAAAGTTGAACATTGTTCAACTTTGGATCTTGAAAATCCTGAGAATCTCCGCTCGCCTGCCCACAATGCATTTCGGCGAAAGCGAAAAAAAGTGACGTCACCCCATTCAAAGTGAATGGGCAGAAGCGTTTCAAGATTTTTTAACGCTGCCGTGGAGACGGCCCGTTACTGTTACATAAATCACATGAATGTATGAGATTAAGTTAGCTTCATCATATCTCAATCAGAGATCAACATTTGTTTAAGTGAATAATAAAGTTTCTATCCGGTTATTATCAGCCTGTCACTAATTATTTTCAGGGAGGGGGGGGGGTGAGGAGAAACAGAGGAGAAGGAGATCGCGGAAGCTTTTCTCCTGCCTTCACAAACTTTACACACGTATTTATCGTCTGAAAATAGCAAGAGGACGTTCATACAATGCAATCCAAGACTTGATTAAATCCAAACAAAAACATGACATGATGGTAACGCAAGTATTTTTCTAAAACATAAATCCATGTGGGTCTGAGCGGAGTGGGTCATTCTGCCTGTTGGTTCTGGACTGATTCAGAGCGGGTCATTCTGCCTGTTGGTTCTGGACTAATTCAGAGCGGGTCATTCTGCCTGTTGGTTCTGGACTAATTCAGAGCGGGTCATTCTGCCTGTTGGTTTGGACTGAATTCAGAGCGGGTCATTTCTGCCTGTTGGTTCTGGACTAATTCAGAGCGGGTCATTCTGCCTGTTGGTTCTGGACTAATTCAGAGCGGGTCATTCTGCCTGTTGGTTCTGGACTGATTCAGAGCGGGTCATTCTGCCTGTTGGTTCTGGACTGATTCAGAGCGGGTCATTCTGCCTGTTGGTTCTGGACTGATTCAGAGCGGGTCATTCTGCCTGTTGGTTCTGGACTAATTCAGAGCGGGTCATTCTGCCTGTTGGTTCTGGACTAATTCAGAGCGGGTCATTCTGCCTGTTGGTTCTGGACTAATTCAGAGCGGGTCATTCTGCCTGTTGGTTCTGGACTGATTCAGAGCGGGTCATTCTGCCTGTTGGTTCTGGGACTGATTCAGAGCGGGTCATTCTGCCTGTTGGTTCTTGGACTAATTCAGAGCGGGTCATTCTGCCTGTTGGTTCTTGGACTGATTCAGAGCGGGTCATTCTGCCTGTTGGTTCTTGGACTGATTCAGAGCGGGTCATTCTGCCTGTTGGTTCTTGGACTGATTCAGAGCGGGTCATTCTGCCTGTGGTTCTGTGACTGATTCAGAGCGGGTCATTCTGCCTGTTGGTTCTTGGACTGATTCAGAGCGGGTCATTCTGCCTGTTGGTTCTTGGACTGATTCAGAGCGGGTCATTCTGCCTGTTGGTTCTGGGACTGATTCAGAGCGGGTCATTCTGCCTGTTGGTTCTGGGACTGATTCAGAGTGGGTCATTCTGCCTGTTGGTTCTTGGACTGATTCAGAGCGGGTAATTCTGCCTGTTGGTTCTTGGACTGATTCAGAGCGGGTCATTCTGCCTGTTGGTTCTTGGACTGATTCAGAGCGGGTCACTCTGCCTGTTGGTTCTGGGACTGATTCAGGGGAAGGGTTGCTCGCTCACAGACACGCTGCAGCGCCGTGCACACAGAGATCTGCTGGGGACGGAGAGAATGGAGCGTTCAGAAGTATAGTGATACTGTAGAAGGCTTGATGTGGACAATGCTCGTTAGCCATTAGTGTTTTCGCGTAAGCGCAGAAACACAAGCAATCTGGCCAAACATCTGGCCAAAAGGCATCATATTCAGACGGAGAAATGCATCATTTTTTTAAGAAGTGATTATATTTCACATCATTAATCGAAATCTGTAAACCAACTAAAGGTATTAAATAAATGCAGTGTTTCCCATAGGTTTACTGCCTTGGCAGGGTGCTGAATTTTTGTTTTGTTTTATCCTCTGGAGCAGAGAGGAGCTGTGGATTATTGTTATCGTACAGTAACAAAGTATTTGTACATTAAAAAGTAATAAAGTACAGTGTTACACTGTACTTTATTACTTTTATTCAAACTGTATTCCCTTCTTATCATGTAGCCTACACTTCTTCCTTTCATTGATACATTTAAATCACCTGACTACAGCATATAACATACCTGCTGCAACCCTGTTCTGCTTCTCTCTGCCTCATCCTCTATTGCTGGAGGCAGCTCCACCTCATCTGATCTCTGATATGAAAGCAATCGTGTTATGATCATATTGAGCTATTGGTGTGAGTCTAACATTAAACAAGCAGTCTGCTTGTCATACATTGCTGACCATACATTTTAAGAGGCAATTTGTTGAGTCACTGCCGCTAAATGCCGGTAGCATCAAGCTAGCAAATCCTGCATTAGCCTCACATCAACAGGTGCAAGAACATCCAATTATCCTGAGCTAATTTACTGAATAAACCAACTCACATCTCCTGTCTTTTTTTTCACCCGACTCATTAGACTATTCTTCTGCTGGCGTTTCATTGTTGTTTTCTGTCAAATTCAATACTGTAGTTCAAAACCGCGGTACCTGCTCACCATCTGTGAGCTATTTTTAGAATGCGCACGCTACGTTCGTTGTCGCGTTCGCGTGCGTCCACCTGGGCAGGCTGTGGGTGTTTCTCAATCGCGAGTAAAGCTGCTCCAGAGCCACTATTTCAAGCATACTACGTCATCGAGTGCCGCCGAAGTACTGTTCCAATCTCCAGCATACTTGGAAATCTACCGAGCCCGGCGTACTCCGTTTGGAGAAATATCGAGTCTGCACATGAGTAGACTTCACGGTCTTAAAATTCCCACAGTGCTTTGCGCACGGACCAATTTCCCCAAATCTGTGGCGGAAGATGTAAGGCGGGGCCTCTCATATGAAGCACACCTGCACACTTGCTAGCCTGTTCCACTCTTTGTTTTCCGAATGCCAGGAAGTATTCTTGCCTCGCTTCTGAAGCAAGATGCTCGGCAGACATGTGCTACCAAGCAAGCGTACTCGAGATTGAGAAACACCCAGTGTGTGTCCTTCTCCTCCGTGACGATGATGATGGCTGTAGCTAACGGTAGTTCTACAGAGGAGTTTACAACACACATTAACACACATTTCCCAAAAATATTCTCTATAAACATTATTAATTGCTTCACATATTAACTGGAAATGAAAGAACACTATGTTTATATCAATTGTACATACCAAGAATGCGACCAAAGGCATGGAACGTCAAAGATTGGAGCGGATTGTGGTCACCATAAACATGTGGCTGTCCTGTTCACATGTAGCTTCCTCACTAGTACACATGGTACATATTTTACACATTTCAACTACTGCCAGCAGGGGGAGACAAATCCAACAAATGAACAACAATGTCCTGATGAGGACATAACAATTATACACACCTTGACATAAGGTGTTGATTTCCTTAGGCCACACCCTCCCTCATTACACAAATACACATCACCTGATATCCTTAAATCCAATACAATCAAGTTCATACAGCTAAGAGTTGGAAAATATACATAAAAATGATGATATTGTCCAAAACTCACTTTCCTAATAATTATTTCAGATGAATCAAATAATTTCTATCGATGTGCTCAGTTCCATCTGATCAAATCTTGTTCATGGTTAAAGAAGAAGAACTGGTTGGAACTTATGTATGAATGTCACAATACCAAAAATGTAGTAGTCGATACCAATACCAATAAAATATCACGATACCAAAGTGGAGTACAAAACAATAAATCCCATGTAGTCAACTACACTACTATGATAGTCTACTCTGTTGCTTTGAATTTCACTTCTTTAACAGAAAAAACTAGTTAAATTGAATTCAGGACTGTACATATAAACATTTTCAAGTAGGTTAATGCAAGGTAGTTGCCTCAACTAATGTTAAAAACGTCTTTATGCTGAACTTCCTGAAGCCTGTATGCTCTGATGTGTTTACTTTTTTTTGAACAACCTGCTTTAAAATAGAAATGTATGACGTTAGGGTTATGCAAAGGTCAACATCAGATTACATCCACTGATGCCTTTCCAGAAAACTCCTCCAGCAGTCATTAAACACAGAGGAGTGCAAACATCCTAGTAGCTTTGGTTGTTCTTCCTGGCCTCATGGGTTTATTTGCCCTGCTTCCCTTTATTCATACCTTTCCTAAATGAATCAAGTTGATGATAAGAAAAAATATTTGCGGGCTAATAATAGCTCATGTTATGATTCTATTTATAGCTGTGAGTTGTGCTCTGAGGTCACATGTTTGCTATTGCATCATACCTGCAGTGTCTCATCCACTGGGGGATATGTGCCCTTTGTGTACTTATGTTGTGTATGTACATACATAAGGAAATCAATTGATTAATTGGGTTGAAGCAGATTTTGTAATTCCAGCTATGATTTCCGGTTCCAGGTTGACGGTAGTTTTTAGTTTAATTCTACCTTATGAAATGTGATATCAAGCTTCAAAGCAGCACATTGTCCAAAGACACTTGCTATTTAATAGTAAACGCATCCTCCTCAAATAAGATGTAATGCCTAGACTAAACCATACAGCAACAAACACAGAGAAAGGTCTCCTTCAAAAAAGTGTTTCTTGTATACAAGATCAATTCACAGTGGGAATATCCACTCGTAGTGTTCATTTCCTCCAACAAATATTTACATGAACTCTTAAAGATAAACATTTGAATCTGGCTGTGTTTGCAAAAATAAACATTGGCCTCTCTCCTTGGGAAAATCCCATACATGTTGATTGTAAATGTCACAGCTGTGAATTATCTAGCGGCTTATTGCAAATCAGCTCCTTTCTACAGTATGTCAGCAGGTTATTACTTTTTTTTTTATGACACGATGATGCAATCAATCCACATGTTTTTTTATTCTCTTTCTGAAATATATATATTCGTTTTTTGTACTCCTGGGTTTTACATTCTTGGGGTCAGGGGGGACTATCTGATAGTCCCTTTTATCCCTTGCAAAAGAGGGTGAAGGTGGATATAGATGTTAGGGTGTAGTGATTCATAAATACACTCTCAAACTGTTATCACTCTGAAACATTTCAGCCTATCATATGGACTCTTAAAGACAACCATTTTACAAATGATGTCTTTGCTTCACCAGGGGAAACATATCACCGTCTCACTGTGCAGAGCGGCATGATGTGAACATATAGCAACAATGAGTCTAATAACATTTAGAATTAGATAGGGTCTCTCAAGCAGTCTAACTGCTTTTCAGGCTCGGTCACCTCATCAAAACAGGCAATATTTAAAACAGCATAGAAATGATCAGATTTCTCAAGTTTATACAAAATTAGAAAATAGTTTGTTTTTTTGTTTTTACTCTGCTGCTTGTCTCTAACCCTCTGTTGATCTTTAATTGAATCTCCTCAGCAGGCCGATGGAGCCTCCTTTGAAGAAGGATGATCTTCCAGTCATGAGGCGACCAGATGAGTGGAAGGACCCCTGGCGTCGGTCCAAGTCCCCCAGGAGACGCCCAGGGCCTGGCTCCCCACCACGAGACCGCCGGCGCCATCGGCCCTCGGGCTCCTCTGTCTCTATGTCCAACTCCTCCAGGTAGGACCTTCTTTTCAGTCAGGATATCAATGACGAGAGCCATAATGCGTTCCGATGTTCATGATTATTGGAGAAACTATATTCGACTATGGCCCTAGGATCTTCTTTTCAGTGAGGATATCCTGTGTCCTTATGAGGGGCAAATAGTTTTGTATTGTGTTAAAACACGCAGCATTGCCGTTATCTTCCTGCAAAAAAAACTAAATGTCACAAAAGGATGCCTGCCGTTAGGGTTAAGTCCCCAATAAAGGTGCACTCAAATGATGCCACACATACAGTGCAGGTTCATCTCAATAAATTAGAATATCGTGGAAAAGTTTATTCATTTCAGTATTTCAATTCATAAAGTGAAACTCATATATTATATAGATTCATTCATCAAGTGTTTCTTTGTTTTAATCTAGGTGATTAGGGCTTACAGCTAATGAAAACCCAAAATTCAGTTTCTCAGAAAATTAGAATATTACATAAGCAATTAACCAATTAAAAAAAAAAAAAGAACATTTAAATACAGAAATGTTAATGTTTCTGCTCTCACTACACGGCGTGGCATGTGGGTGATCAGCCTGTGCCTCTTCAGAGGTGTAATGGAAGCCCAGGTTGCTTCCATAGCGGCCTTCAGCTCGTCTGCGTTGTTGGGTCTGGTGTCTCATCTTCCTCTTGAAAATACCCCATAGATTCTCTACAGGGTTCAGGTCAGGGGAGTTTTCTGGAACAAAGCACAGTAATTCCATGGTCATTCAACCAGATGTTGGTACTTTTGGCAGTGTGGGCAGGTGCCAAGTCCTGCTGGAAAATGAAATCAGCATCTCCATAAAGCTTGTCAGAAGAAGGAAGCATGAAGTGCTCTAAAATGTCCTGGTAGACGGCTGCGTTGACTTAATAAAACACAGTGGACCAACAGCAGCAGATGACATGGCTCCCCAAACCATCACTGACTGTGGAGACTTCACACTGGACTTCAAGCATCTTGGATTATGTGCCTCTCCACTCCACAGACTCTGGGACCTTTATTATGTGTGACTGGCGAAGCCACACACAGTCTAGTATTCGACATACTTATCTAATCTTATTTTCCTTCTTCCGCCACAAATGGTGTCATGCTACTCGTCTGGCAGCGTTGACCTGAAACACACAAAAAACACATCAAAACGTGCGGAATGACCGGGATCGGGTTGCTATGTCTTTTATAAAAGATTCGCCTAGCCCTTTTCCCGCAAATCGCAGAAAACTGTGATAATTTGCCCCATAGGAATGAATGGGAAATCCATTTGAACAGAGCTCAAAAACACCCCACTTTGACCCCATACAGATTCCACATACTTTAACGTAGAACAAAAGTTACAAGTTTAAACGGTTCTCGGGACTATGGATATTTTTTTATAGCTAGTACGGTTCTCACGTAGTCGCAGCTTACGTTTTGTGAAAATGTCACACTGTTACACATTTTATAATGGGTGTGTATGGGAAAGCTCGTTAAGACTTTGAGTGGGTGACATCACGGCTAGAGGGGAGAGGAGCTGTCAAATCTAAAGAGTTTTTTTCCCAACTATTGCTCGGCTGGCCACAATTTTCACTCTTCATACATAATTTGGTGATCATAATGTAAGGAAATGTATCACGGCCGCACCGATATGCTCATTTAATCAAATGGACACATATAACAAACACGAGAGTCATCAGGTGTTCATCTGGTATCCTAAATACTCTGGGTGGGATATTTAGCTGATTGGAGTTACAGTTTTTTACTTAAAAGCAATAATGCAGCACAATATTGTCAATACATTCTCTGACAGGCTGTCTCTCGTTCACTGGCAGGGCGTTGCCGTGGAAACGCTTTGATCTTTGAACACACCTGTCGGTCGTTAACTAAATCAAGTGGTAATCTAAAGATGTTCAGAAACGATGCAGGAATGTGCTACAAGAATCCAAAAATGTAATAGATAAACAGTTGAAATAGTCAGCTAAAAGTGAGCTAAAATGAATGGCTATTCTTTGTTGTACCTTAACAATACAACTAATGCTATTAATACTTACTCAGCGGGGGTAATGTTAGCATCGGGACGCGCACCCAAGGTTCAGTCACACAGTCAACATTTCTCTGAATTTTCTAGTTTCCAAATTAAATGCAAAATGTACTTTCATCTGAAAAGAGGACTTTGGACCACTGAGCAACAGACCAGTTCCCTTTCTCCTTAGCCCAGGTAAGACACTTCTGAAGTTGTCTCTGGTTCAGGAGTGGCTGGACACGAGGAATGCGACACTTGGAGCCCATGTCCTGGAGACGTCTGTGCGTGGTGGCTCCTGATGCACTGACTCCAGCCTCAGTCCACTCCTTGTGAAGCTCCCCCAGATTATGAATGGCTTTTGCTTGACAATCCTCTCACGGACCGTCTCCACAGCAGCGTTAAAAAAATCTTGGAGGTGGGCGTATCTGAGGCTTGGGGATTTTTTTGCGATCAACCAATCACATGAATCTCCCGCCCGCGACATACGAAGCCAAAAAGCCCGAAGTAAACTGGATATAAACTCCCCAAAACAGGCGAAAACATACCACTGTCTCTGCCACCTCCCTCCATGCCTGGCTCCTCCGGTTTATATCCCGGTAGGTCTGGTCATAAAGCACCGGGTGATTGATTCGCTACCGCTAATTTCTCCTCCATTTTTTGGAATATGAGGAAATGATCTGCGGTATGTCTCTCCCAGCATACACGCCGTTTGATTGGCTAGAGCTTGAACTGCCAGATTTGCGTACACGGGATTTGATTGGCTGCCGCTTTCACCTCAGCTTCAAAAGTTGAACATTGTTCAACTTTGAATCTTGAAAATCCTGAGAATCTCCGCTCGCCTGCCCACAATGCATTTCGGCGAAAAGTGAGGGAAAGTGACGTCACCCCATTCAAAGTGAATGGGCAGAAGCGTTTCAAGATTTTTTTTAACGCTGCTGTGGAGACGGCCCGTCAAGTCTGCGGTCAACTCAGTTGCTTGTGTACTATGACTGTCTTCTGGACAACTGTCAGGTCAGCAGACTTCCCCATGATGGTGTAGCCTACTGAAGCAGATGAGAGACCATTTGAAGGCTCAGGAAACCGTTGAAGGTGTTTTGAGTTGATTAGCTGATCAGAGTGTGACACTGTGAGTCTACAATATTGAACTTTTTTCAATATTCAAATTTTCGGAGATACTGAATTTGGGGTTTTCATTTGCTGTAATCATCAAGATTAAAACAAATAATTCACTTTGTGTGAAATTAATCTATATAATGTATGAGTTTCAAATAGTATTAGTGAAATTAATCAACTTTTCCATGATATTCTAATTTATTGAGATGTACCTGTATCTACCATCAGCAATGAAGCAACTTGTAAACACTTTGGCACACAGTGAAGAACAGTTGAACATGTGGGTTGCTCCATGCTAAATGTATCTTTTCTTTCAATCAAGATTATCCTTTGTTATGGGCTTAAACTAAATGTATTTGTTTTTCTTTGTTTAAAATCATTTATTACTGGCTATTGCTTTTTATTAGATAATACTGGAGATGGTCAGGAAAAATGGTGGGGGGGCTATGTTTTAGGTGGAGCTGGTCAGCCATTTTGCCACGGCCATGCACAAGAACCCTTTTGTTTATATTTTGACAACCATAGCTTTAGCAAATGGATTTAATGGATAACACCAATTTACATACTTTATTAATTGTAAATATAATCACCATGGACCATGGAGGTGTTTACCATATTTGATTGCAAATCCATTCAATGATTGATAACAAATTTCAAAATCAATAGGCATCATCTTTTTGGCACAATGAATGTCTGTACAAAATCTTAATACAATCCAACTAGTAGCTGTTGAGATGTTTAATCCTGGACCAAAGTGGTCATCGTAACAGTCAATTAGAAGCAGCAGAGTTTAAAATATCCTGACTTTTAGTGCGGCATTATTATTCTTGTCATGTTTGGAGGCTACAGTACGTCACCTTTTTTTGTTGGCTGAAGTGGCTCCAAATGATTGTCCATGGCATGCAAGAGTTTGCTATGAGTCGAGGTTTGATTAATGTAACCTGCAGCCTTAGTGAATGAAGTGCCAGTAACAGCACAGTACAAAACAAACCTTACAAAAAATAAACAACGCTGCTGACTGTTTTAAAGCCATTTTCTTGATATGTAACTTTAGCTAAACGATCTAATAATAGATAACATAATGTAACTGTGTTACCTGTGGTCGAAAGTTAATTTCACATTTATAGGTCAATGATCTAAAGGCTATAACTATATTTATTAATCAACAACATGTTTTTGTCATTGTATACTAAATCTTAAAATGCTCAAAGGCCTAGTGTGTGTTTGCCACTTACTTGTGTAGAGTTTGCGATCTGTTTAAGGAGCACCTCATGTATCTTATGGGTGCTTTGTTTGTTGCAGGTCTTCGTCTCACTCTTCCTCCTACACAGGCTCTGGGTCATCTCGTTCCCGGAGCCGCTCTTCCTCGTTCAGCTCCTACTCCAGCCACTCGTCCCAGCGCAGCTCCTTCAGTGGCAGCCGCTCCAGGTACACATCAGTCTGTGGGTCTCTGTGTATCATAGTACACCTAGCTGTTGGATTTGCAAAAACAAAGCCACGCAGTCTTCCCCTACTGCTCCTTTACTTGCAGACATGTTTATACACAGTGTTTTACACAAAGCCCACTCTGCATAAATCCAGTTCTCACAGTAGCATGAGTGAGACTTTTCACTATGGGATGGGCCTCCCTCCGTATTCCTCAGAAGCATCAATCTGATTAAGCCAATCCTGATTGGGTGGTGATTGTGATGTAATCGACCCACCAGCTTGTGCTTCAACGCAGCATTGTACAAGATAAGCACCTATTTGTTTCCGCCCAGCACCAAGGGCTGTGGTGAGTTATCTCACTTATGCTACTATGAGAACCAGCGTTACACAACTAAAGTTATCATTCATAGCATAGGGGCCAGTCTGACCCAGTGCTGGAAATGTAGTATTAGTGGCCGAGTCTGTGATCCCAGACTATAAAACAGTTTGAGTGTTGCTCTGAAGAGAGTCAAGGTGTTTGAAAGATTATGTGCAAGCTTTTTAAGGGTAGGGGTGGTCCTTTGTGCCATGTCCATTTTCGAATTCATTTATTTTAAGCTCCAACCACCGGAATTTGTTATGATAGTCAACTCTCCTGGTGAATTTTATTCAAATTCCAACAACATGTACCCCTCCCTCATCAACCTTGAAGTTTAGCCTCAGTAGGGTGGTCCTTAAAATTGAAAGTCGGAAAGTCTAAGCTCCAACCCCCAGAATTCATTCTATTAGTCAAGAAAACTTTTTTTGTGAATTTTTTCTTGACTAATAGAATGAATTCTGGGGGTTGGAGCTTAGACTTTCCGACTTTCAATTTTAAGGACCACCCTAATGTGCAAGGGTGATGCGTGATTACCCAACGCAGACATCACGATCACCAGTCAATCAGGATTTGCACAATGAGATTGATGCTTCGGAGGAATATGCAGGGAGGCGCCACTTAGTGAGACATCCGGGAATGTTGAAGTTAAATAGATAATATAGATAAACACCTTCTTAATCAAGTTAATACAAATCTTAACCTCTTTAAACAATAGTGTTGGCCACGTGTTGGACTTACAGTTATTTCAACTAACAGGATGTAAGATTTATTAGCAATACATTGGTAAACATTCGGAATGTTTTGACTATTTGCTTATTTGCAATGTACTTATATTTCCTAGAGCTTATCATTAAGACTGCAAGCAAACAAAGCTAGCCTGGCTTTGTCTAAGCTTTATAATAAAATGCCTACCAGCAAATGAGCATGTTGTATCTTGATTTGATACCTTTAAGCTCTTTTTTATCTATTTGTATTTGTTGAAATGACTACCCACAGATAATTTTCCAAAGCCTCTGAGATGACAAAGGGTTTGGTAGTAATCCAAATAAGGTTTAGGTTCAGTAAATAAGTGATTGTAAACCTGTAGTGTCCATATTAAGAGAGAGATCCTGTTGGGCTTTGGAGTTTGTGCTAGGTGGATGTTGCCACTAGGGATGCCAGAAACTGACCATGATCAAATTCGAAAATCGGACAGCCCTGGCGAATATTAATCAATTATTAATACTATTACTATTATTAGCATTAGTCTATATTTTGGTTGAAACTAAGCCAGGAAAAAAAAGTAAAACATAAATAATAATAAAAAAATATATAAATAAAATCGAATTTTAAAAATAATTTTCGATTATGGAGACTAACGAATATTCGAAAAATCGAATAATCGCTGGCATCCCTAGTTGCCACCTTCAGACAGAGCTAGTCTACAATGTGAGATCCATTTGAAAGTGATTTTGCACATTGCTTAGCTATCTATCTAACTAACTAACAAACTAACATTGCTTTTCTTTAATTGTTCAGCTCGCACTTGAAAATGTAAATGCATCAACATAATGCAATAGATGAAAGCAATTATAGTCATGTTATTCTTGAAATGAAACTGCATATCAATATGTCATGACTACTTTACTGCTTACAGGTCTCGATCATTCTCCACCTCCCCGTCACCGAGTCCAGCCGCACAGAGGAACGCTAAGAACAAAGCCGACCCCCCCCCCTGCGTTAGCCAAAGGGTAACTCTTCAGCACCTTCATCCATTTAAGCCATTGTCCACCAGGAGTATATTATTTGCTTCTATCTTTGTTTCTCCTTAAGTACACATTCTAGGGTTCAATTTGTTAGTGTTTGTAAATAATGTTATTATTTCATGTGATTTATTGTCATAACAAGGCAGAATAAAGTCTGTAGTTGTAGCTTTCTCCATCATTGCATTGCATCATGCTTTCTTATTTGTGTTAATGATTTGTTCATCATTAGCTAAAGCATTGCATGTGCTCTGCTGACATGCTAGTTTGTAGCACATGCCTATCGATCACTGTCTGCATGCTTGAAAAAGTGCCTTTTACATCCCTAAGCATGCCGCTGAAGCCGGGTGCCATGCCCCCTCCTCGCAGGGATAAGCCCACCATGAAGAAGGCTCCCAGTCCTCCTCCACCTGGTGGACCGCAGGGCAGGCCTTCCAAACCCCTGCCCGAGGGAGGGAAGCCTCCAACCAATCCCCGGGAGACAGGGGGAGCAGGAGGCGCGGCAGGCAGCGGTGGAGTAGGGAGACCCCCTCCTCCAAGGGAACCTGGAAAGCCTCCAAACCCGAGGGAAGAGAGGCGAAAAGAACGTCAGCAACATCCTCCACGAAGGTAAGTGCCTCACCATAAGGCTATTTCAGGTTATAATACGAATTAAAGTTGCATCAGCAATAAACACACCGCTGCCCCACATGTGTCAGCAGCGGGCTTGTTACGACAACTGGACACTACAAAAAAGGAGTACATTACTCCGTGCAGTAGAGGGCCTAATATTTCCGTCTTCAAGTTTGTTTAGCTAGGACTTTGACTCAATATTTTTGTGGGGATGATGTCAGGCCTGGATTCCTATTGATCAGGCAGTTGGAAGAAGATGGGAGAATGTACGCTCAAGTTTCAACAACAAGCTGTTTCCGGGCGAAGAACGCTACCCCACGGTCGAGGCTTTAAAACCAAATGGCTTCACAATTTTTCCTCCTGCACGTCTTTAGACAATACCTTAAAGATGGCTCTGATAACTTTGTTAAGATCGATAGTTGCTGTTTCCTTTTGCCTGTAAGTGTTGCTCTGAATCATGCTCAGTATTGACGTGTGAATGTCCACCGGCATGACCAGTTTGGTCCAGATTGGACAACGTTAGTTAAGGTACAGCCACTTCCTATTTATTTTTTATGATTTCTTGAAAGCTTATCAACTTTTTATTAAGCATGTCTTACAGTTTAAAGTTTGACACATGTAAAATGGAGCGTTGTCCTAAGACCTATCCTTTAACTATTGTTATCTATATATGTATCTTAACTACTAGCGTAACATTGGTCTTAGGGTTATTCCGACCAACATATACACCGATCAGCCATAACATTATGACCACTGACAGGTGAGGTGAATAACATTGATTATCTGGTTACAATGGCACCTGTCAGTGGGTGGGATATGTGAGACAGCGAGTGAACACTTTGTCTTCAAAGCTCATGTGTTGGAAGCAGGAAAAATGTGAAAGCGTTGTGAGGGACTTTGACAAGGGCTAAATTGTGATGACTATACAACTGGGTCAGAGCATCTCCAAAACTGCAGCTCTTGTGGAGTGTTCCCGGTCTGCAGTGGTCAGTACCTACCGAAAGTGGTCCAAGGAAGGAAAACCGGTGAATCAGGGTCATGTGCGACCAAGGCTCCTTGATGGGCGTGGAGAGCGAAGGCTGGCCCGTGTGGTCCGACCCAACAGAAGAGCTACTGTAGCTCAAATTGCTGAAACAGTTAATGCTGGTTCTGTTAGAAAGCTGTCCGAACACTAGGGATGGGTACCGAGCCCCGGTATTAAACGGGCCCCGGGGTTGTATTATTAAAGACCGTGGTACCGTTAAGCTCCGACGTTATCGGTCTTTTTATCGGTACTGGAGACATCTAAAAAATATGTCATGTGTATTATTGCTACACAAACATTATATTGCAGTTTTAGTGTCGCCAACTCCGTTTCTAATACGCAAAAAGACTGCAAAATGCGTCATTTTTTGTATTTTCGATCTCTCCAATCCAGGCGAGAGATCTCTCTCCCCCGCCTGTGTGCGAGGGGGCGGGGCAGTTTACACACACGCAGCTGCTACATGCAGCAACACACACACACGGAGGAGATGGCGGAGAGAACGCCTCCGAGGTGTGGTTAAACTTTACCCGTCTCGCTCGTTGCCTAAAGTGCAATAAGAGTTTAGCATGTAAGGGCGGTAACACGAGCAATTTGTCTAAACATTTAGCAAAAGTGCACCACGTTCAGACGGAGAAATGCACCGGGTTCGACTGTCTCTCTAGTAGCTCTGTAGCCCCATCACGAGTAACGTTTCCACGTCAGGTATATTATGTATGCTAGCAGCAACACACGGAGCTAACTCAATGATTCAAACATGGGTTAATGATTAGAGGGAACTGAGTTATTTAGTTTGTTAAAGTTTCAGCCATTCTGTTCACAGTTCTGTCATCAGATTATTTAATATGATTTGTTAAAACGTTGTTGTTTCTGTTGATGTGAAATATTATGTATTTCATTTAAATAAAAAGCAATGTTAGTTTTGTTCACAATTTGTTAATTTTCATTTAATTGTTTATTTGAATAGGGACAATGCACATTAATGAACACTTTAGACAAATAATGCTTCAAGTGTAAATATGCCGGATTTTAGCTTTGAGCTAATTTCCATCCGTAGTCCCTGACATACAACATATAGTTAGTTTACCTCATTTTTCTCTCCAAAAGAACCGATAAGAGTACCGTTAAAAGACCGGACCGATAAGCGGTATCGATAAAAGTAGTAGTACCGTTAAAACCTTAACGATACCCATCCCTACCGAACACACAGTGCATCGCAGTACGTGTGTATGGGGCTGTGTAGCTGCAGACCGGTCAGGGGGCCCATGCTGACCCCTGTCCACCGCCCAAATAACCTACAATGGGCACGAGAGCATCAGAACTGGACCGCGGAGCAATGGAAGAAGGTGGCCTGGTCTGATGAATTACGTCATGTGTGTATGGTTGGGTGTGTGTGCGTCGCTCTCCTGGGAAAGACTCAGTGGCCGTTTCTCAATCGCGAGGATATTGGCTTCCAAGCCAATATTTCAAGGATGCTACGTCATCAAGTGGCGCAGCAGGACCGTTCCAATGTCCAGCATACTTGGAATTCCACCGAGGCCGCGTCCTTGGTTTGGGGGAAATTTCGAGGCTGCACATGGGTAGACTTTGCGTCCTTAAAGTCCCCACAATGCTTTGCGCACGGACCAATTTCCCCAAATCTGTGGTGGAAAATGTAAGGCGGGGCCTCTCATATGACGCACACCTGCACACTTGCTAGCCTGTTCCACTCTTCGTTTTCCGAATGCCAGGAAGGATTCTTGCCTAGCTTCTGAAGGAAGTGACTCGGAAGACATGTGCTACCAAGCAAGCGCACTCGCGATTGAGAAACGGCCCGTCAGTAGGGGCTTGGACTGGGAGCCGTAGGGTCGCTGGTTCAAGTCCCTGAACAGACCTAAATATGGAGTGTGGATTGCTACTTGGAGAGGTCCCAGTTCACCTCCTGGGCCCTCCAATTCTATCTATCTATAGATAGAAAATTCAATCACGTTAATCACAAAAATGTATTAATTATGATTTTAGTTTTGTTTAATAAACTAGTATTTGTGGTGTTGTAATAAAGAAATGCATGACTAACTGGTAAGAACTTTTTCACTTTATTATCTTTACTTTACTATATTTATTGTGTATCACTGCTTTGTTTTTTAGATTTCTTAATTATTGGCATGAATTTCGTAACATTCTGTGATTCCCCGCTGTATATTGTGCGCTACACATGCACTTGTATGATAGCAGTGTTTCCCCTAGGTTTACTGCCTTGGCTGCTCGGGTACAACACGGGGGTGCCCGGAATTTTATTTTTTTATTTTTTTTGGAGCAGAGAGGAGCTGTGGATTATTGTTATTATCGTACAGTAACAAAGTAGTTGTACATTAAAAAGTAATAAAGTACAGTGTTATACTGTACTGTATTACTTCTGTATTCCCTTCTTATCATGTAGCCTACACTTCTTCCTTTCATTGATACATTTAAATCACCTGACTACAGCATATAACATACCTGCTGCAACCCTGTTCTGCTTCTCTCTGCCTCATCCTCTATTGCTGGAGGCAGCTCCACCTCATCTGATCTCTGATATGAAAGCAATCGTGTTATGATCATATTGAGCTATTGGTGTGAGTCTAACATTAAACAAGCAGTCTGCTTGTCATACATTGCTGACCATACATTTTAAGAGGCAATTTGTTGAGTCACTGCCGCTAAATGCCGGTAGCATCAAGCTAGCAAATCCTGCATTAGCCTCACATCAACAGGTGCAAGAACATCCAATTATCCTGAGCTAATTTACTGAATAAACCAACTCACATCTCCTGTCTTTTTTTTTCACCCGACTCATTAGACTATTCTTCTGCTGGTGTTTCATTGTTGTTTTCTGTCAAATTCAATACTGTAGTTCAAAACCGCGGTACCTGCTCACCATCTGTGAGCTATTTTTAGAATGCGCACGCTACGTTCGTTGTCGCGTTCGCGCGCGTCCACCTGGGCAGGCTGTGTGTGTCCTTCTCCTCCGTGACGATAACGGCTTGAGGTTAAAAAATAATAATAAACGAATTTGAAACTGGGGGGGGGGACACAAACAAGCAGACAGCAAAGCTCGGGGCAATAATGCAGATTTGTTTGACTTTTTTTACACTTTGTTGTTCTCCTCCTTTCCTCCGCTCTTGTCTCTGATTGTGAGTGTGTGCATTCGTGTGTGTGTGTGTGTGTGGGGGGGGGGGGAGCGGAGCCCCGCCCTTCAGAAACAGAGCGGAGGGAGAATGTGATAACGCAAAGCAGTGGACACTGAAACATGCACATACATTGGATAAATAACATAGGCGTTTATTTAATAAAAGAGCACATGTTCAATGTGAAAAGTGACCGTAGATAGATTACTTCAGTTGCAATTTGGTGCTATATATATATATATATATATATATATATATATATATATTTTTTTAATTAAAAAAAAATTAACAAAAAAAAAAAACACCTTGAATTTCAGGCGGGGCTCCGTTGGCAGGGCGCAGCGCCCCGCCAAGACAATGGTAGGGGAAACACTGGATAGTATTCTTGGTGGCGTTTTCTGCAAACTCTATCTGCTCCTGCAGGGCTGACCCTGTCTGCTGTCTCCTGTGCAAAGCGAAGGGGTGCAGAACATTTGTCATAGATCAAGTGTTCGGATACGCCACGGCAGTGATGGTTCTGGCTGATGCCCAGTGGTCTCCAGTCAGTGCAGTACATGTAGCTAGTACCACTTTTCTTTTCTTTTCTTTTCTTTTTCATTGCCATGCAATTCCTGGTAAACATTTGCGCAGGAAGTTGGGGTCGGAACATGGTATTGTGATTCATTTGTGTTTATTTATTTTTTTATGTGTTCAAGTTTCCAGATTATTCCCGAGTGTTAAGGCATTGCAGTGACAGCCCTAGTGCAGACTCAAATTCTGTCTCTCCTGGAAATAAAAATGCTACTGTCCCATCCATGGTGATCTGTTTTAGACAAAACTGTTTGAGGCATTCTTAATTCTTATGGCAAACCAGTTAATAGAAAAACAACCCTTTTTTGTTGGCAGCCGACTCTGTCGAGTTGTAAGTAACTCGACTAGAATAAACATCTTCAGTGTTGGAGGATTTTCTCCTGGAGCGCTATGTGCGCCATAGCTGTCTGTAGTAGGTTGGCTTAGAAAGGCTCTTGAAGGTGGCTCGCTGCTCTGATTGTGAGCATCACAGCATTGTCATCATCTCTATATGACCAAAAGTTTTATGATTTGTTTGATATTGCAAAACCTTTTACATAAGAGCACACAATCGTTTATCTAGCCACTTACTTTTTACTTTAAGAGGCAGCTTGATAAGAAAATGGTCTGAGAGATTTATTGTGTCTTTGTCCCGTCCGATTAAAAACCTTGTTAGAATGTCTTTAAAAAAAAGTTTTGTGATCAGAGTGAAAACTGTTATGATGCTTTGCTATGCGGTTCAGGGGTAGTGTTTGGGAGTGGGAGAAGGTTGACCTTCCTACATGTTTGTTTCCCAGATGACATTTGTAAGGAAGTATGTAGTCAGTGGATTGCTTTGTTAAGATACATTTGCAATAAGCAGAACTGGATTTCCCAACCCGTTCAGATTTGCATAGTTGATTCTGTGTTTGTGTATGGTATAAAAGGATACTACAGGTGTATCCCTGTTGTGCATTTTGGGGGAAGACCAAAGAGATTGGTATGTGTGTGGGAGTGGGTGGATAGCCCGGGGAAAGGATAAGTACAAACGCATACATATGGGTGACAGCGAGAAACCACAGACAAAGAGGAAGAGCAGTTAAAGGGCAGGAAAGAACAGTAAGGATGTGTGCGGCTGTTTTCTGTCTCACCACGGAAACTGCCCTGACAAACCAGTTCCAACACCTATTGGTTATTCTGTTTATAAACCACGTCCTTCTGATTGACATGTATATTATATCTATATTAGGGCTGTCAGTCGATTAAAATATTTAATCGCGATTAATCGCATGATTGTCCATAGTTAATCGCAAATTAATCGCACATTTTTTATCTGTTCTAAATGTACCTTAGAGGGATATTTTTCAAGTTTTTAATACTCTTATCAACATGAGTGGACTTATATGTTTGTTTTTTATCTTTTGAACAATGACAAATATTCTTATGAATATTAAACACAACAACCTCTGAACATTACAAATATTCGCTTCAATTCAACCTGGAACCTCTCTCATACAATACTGTGTGTGTGTGTGTGTGTGTGTGTGTGTGTGTGTGTGTGTGTGTGTGTGTTTGTGTGTGTTGTGTGTGTGTGTGTGGTGTTGTGTGTGTGTGTGTGTGTGTGTGTGTGTGTGTGTGGTGTGTGTGTGTGTGTGTGTGTGTGTGTGTGTGTGTGTGTGTGTGTGTGTGTGTGTGTGTGTGTGTGTGTGTGTGTGTGTTTGTGTTGTGTGTGTGTGTGTGTGTGTGTTGTGTGTGTGTGTGGTGTGTGTGTGTGTGTGTGTGTGTGTGTGTGTGTGTGTGTGTTGTGTGTGTTGTGTGTGTGTGTGTGTGTGTGTGTGTGTGTGTGTGATGGATCGTTGGAGCTATGTGCAGCTCGAGGCATATGCTCGAACGGGAGCTGCCTGGACGCTGCAATCATGTTGTGCGCACTATCCGTGCTGAGTGTGCTGACTTTTCGTGCAATGTCCCACTGTCTGGCTACCTGCATAAAGTCAAGTGCTCAGCGCAGTTGTCGGCAAAATGTCACTCCTCTGTTTTCATTGAAACAGCTCCTTATATCCGTTAGCGCAGCTAGCTAGCACCAGATGCTAACAACAACAACACGTAAGGTGTGCTTCGCTCGCGCCACACATACACACACCCTCCCGGTCCTCCCGATGGCCAGTCCGGGCCTGCCGGTGAGCGTGGAAGTGTGGTCTGCCACAAGCGGGCAGCAGGAGCGGGGCTGTCAGCATCAGCTTGTAGATGGTATTTTAAACTCGATGCGCTCTGAAACTACGGGGCGGCCGAGGACAACACATACGTTAATCGCGTTAAAATAATTAGTGGCGTTAAAAAAAATGTGCGTTATTAACGCGTTAACTTGACAGCCCTAATATATATATATTTATATATTGAATACCTGTTACTGGCCTGAGAAGTGGGATGGAGTATCATTATGAAGATATTTGAAGTGTCTTCCTGTCTTTTGAGTGGTTCCCAGTATGATACTCTGGGTGTTTCTCAATCTCGAGTACGCTTGCTTGGTAGCACATGTCTTCCGAGCGTCTTGCTTCAGAAGCGAGTCAAGAATACTTCCTGGCATTCAGAAAACAAAGAGTGGAACAGGCTAGCAAGTGTGCAGGTGTGCGTCATATGAGAGGCCCCGCCTTACATCTTCCGCCACAGATTTGGGGAAATTGGTCCGTGCGCAAAGCATTGTGGGGATTTGAAGACCGCGGAGTCTACTCATGTGCAGCCTCGATATTTCTCCAAACGGAGTACGCCGGGCTCGGTAGATTTCCAAGTATGCTGGAGATTGGAACAGTACTTCGGCGGCACTCGATGACGTAGTATGCTTGAAATAGTGGCTCTGAAGCAGCTTTACTCGCGATTGAGAAACACCCCCAGTCTACCTACTCAATGTGCATGTACTACAAAGTACTTCCCACTAAATGGAGTCATATTTTACTAGCGGACTGTTAACCCTAAAGTATACTCAAGCAAGATGGCCGGTTATATGTTATGGCACCCAGCAGCGGGTCCGTCACATCTCTGAAACAAATAGGCATTATTTGGATAAACTGATCAGATATTGGGAATCTAAATGGTTATTCTCCTGCCTAAAATGATATGAAATATGGATATACTAAGGTTATATCTACGGACTGGATGAAAGTCATGGATGCTTGATATACTAACATAAATCACAATTTTCTGTGTTTAAACACTAGCAACAACCGATGTGCCTGTTGTGTGCTGTTTTACCTTTACACTAACACTGTAACCGCTGGACAGTGTCAGAATGTTGAAATGGAAACACACATTGTTGAAATTTACTTTCCATAGGTTTTCCAGTGGTTTAGCCATGTTATTATTAAATGATAGAGGATAAAAGTTGTCCGTTTATTTTCTCACAAGTTCTACAAATGAATGTTAACTTGGAACACTAATAACTTCACTGACAGCAAACAACCTCTGTTAAAAACATCCACGCTCTTCTATATGACCACAGTGGTTTGGGACTAATATTCCTTTTTGGGAATGACCTTAGTGTTTCAGATGTTTCTGACCGAGAGTAGCAGGGACCTGAGTGTGGCTGATTGAGTTATTTCCTTTTATTTGTAAAGACATTTGGTATCAAAACCTTCTGATATGTGTAATCATATCTGAACAAAGAGATGGGTAGTAGACCCTGGTTTTGATTTTATAAGAACTACTTGCCGGGTTCTCACTTCAGTGTCTGTCTCTTCCAGGCGAACTGTGAGTGGAAGTGTTAGTGGAAGAAGTTATTCTGGTTCTAGCTCCAGATCCAGATCATCCTCCAACTCCCTATCTCGCTCACGCTCCGGATCCAGAAAATCCAGGTACTCGCCGTTAACACCGTTATGTCATCAAAACAGCAGTTTGCGAGAAAAAACCCCTCCTTTTTATAGAGAGATGTTGATGACCATTTATTGCGTCTATGTGTGCATTTATTCTGATCCTTCCACCGCAGCGGTTTGTCTGTCGGCCAAATGGGAGTTTTTCCATCCCATTCTTATGAATGGGAAATCTCAGAAATGCCTTGAGAATGAACTGATTTTGGTGATCAAAGGTCAGGGTCACTGTGACCTCACATTTGTCCCATACTCATAATCCTTAAACCACATGAACAAATTGGAAGGATTTCTTCAAATTTGGCACAAATTCCAACTTGGACATGGATAAACTAATTAGAATTTGGAGGGGTGTAAATGGCAAGGTGACTGTGACCTCACAAAACACCTTTTGGCCACATCATAAGAATACATAGGCTACTAATGGCAGTTTCAACTTTAGCATCAACTTGACTGGTTGGTGGTGGAATACAACGGTGAGATGGTATTTGACCTGTAAAGCATTTTATTTGCAGAACAGCTTTGATTGATATTCGTTAATAATGCCAAATGGCACACATACTAAGACAATTATGAATCTATGGAGTATAATGTACTTACACATTTGACTCTTTAAAGGTGGGGTAGGTAATTATGGAGAAACCGGCTCGAGTGCGCTAGAATTTGAAAATACACAACCGGAAAAAATCTGCCACTTCCTTACAGAGCCCCTCCTCCAACACACACGAACGCGCACATGACCAATGAGGGCACGAGATAAGTTTGTGCACAGATGGAAGGCTGACAGGCAGGTAGGCCATCCAGTTACTTTAGCCGGGCCGGCTCAAATGATTGGTCGTGCTTTTTACAGCGCTACCGCTTCCACAGATGACATTTTTTTATGTATTCATTGTCAAAGCATTTAATGTATTCATTGCTATCGGGATGTTAAGAGCATTCCATGGAATATAACAAAAAGTGTTTCTGAAATAAATTACATACCCCATCTTTAAGCCAGCAAGAGACAGGAACTCCAACCAACTGCAGCATTGAACTCGATGTTAACTGAAACAAGAAATATCTGAAGTAAAGCAGAAAGCGGCATATTGGTGATGAGAGACTAACCGGAGCAGCTGACGATGTTGCCAAGCAACGGTAAACATTGTTACAGTAGTTGACATACTACTGGTGAGACTTCAAATCTCACCCCCACACAGTTCCAAGGGAAGAATAGACAACCCATGTTGAACTGTACCCACAAACATGTTCACATCCAGAATCCCCTTCTGCTTTGGTTTTTCTTTTCACTGCAAAGCATTTATGCAGCAAGTCAGTCTTTATTCTCTTTACATATGGGATCATGTGAGGCAGTGCATTCAGACACAATATACTCAATTATATGTGTGTGTGTGATGGTCTCATGCTGTCGTGCACTCCTCAACAAAACAGCTACTGCAATGAATATTTACTTAATGATATTGGCATTGGGAGCAATGCAATATAACGGTTTCAGGCACGTAGTCCACATTTCTTGCAAAATGTTTTAGTTGCACTATAATTGGCTGCTTTTAGGCTTTGCTTCCAACTAAATTGTAGTTTTTTTCTGGTTTCATTATTGTGAAGGCAGTCACTGTCAGTCTTCAATCCAAATATGAAAATATAAAGGTATTTGAAATGTAAATATAATGGGTTTTAGTGATTACACGGTGTAATATGGATGTATTGTGTTTTTCCCTCTTGCTTTCATGTGCCGTCTCTGTTGGGAAACCCTCCAGGAAATCCAGGTATGATATTTGTTATTCAGGGTGTGTGTGTGTAGACATGTGCGCATGTTGTGCAGTGTACACAGTGTACCCTGAGAAGCAGCAGTTCAGTCTGGATGTTGTGTCTCTCCCTCAGATCTCTGAGTGTGAGCAGCGTGTCCTCCGTGTCCTCGGCTTCGTCCAGCAGCAGCTCGGTGCGCAGCGCAGACTCAGACGACATGTATGCTGACCTGGCCAGCCCCGTGTCCTCCGCCAGCTCCCGCTCCCCCACCACCAATCACCCCCGCAAGGAGCGAGTGCCGGTGCGGGACCGGCCTCCACAAGGCAGAGACAAGATCAGGGGTGAGTGCTGCAGGGCGGAGGGATAGGCTGCTACAAAAGCACAACATAAGGGTCATACATTTTAGAATGGGTCGCTACTCAAAGAATGGACAAGTGTGGAATGAGAAAGCAGCTGAAATCAGTCGGTGAATGAAAACACGTTCTACAAACTCTGCTGCAGAGGCATTACAGTTCATATTTTACACTTATTCTTCAAAATGTATGTTTTGCATGCTATAATTAAATTAAAAGTACCACAGTTGTGATTTTAAGACGGATATCACCATCCTTTCACACATCTTTACACTTAAGTATTTAATGTACAAAAACAAAATATAAACAATTGGGGGGGAAAAGTAAAAAATGGCACGTATACAATTTCTTTCTTTTTTTAAATATTTTCAATGTTTCTGTAAATGGGAGGTATAAAACTGATGATTAGCATTTGATGGTTCATCGGGTCTCATCTTTTTCTTTCCTCATCACAGAGAGACCATCAAAAAAAGAGGAACCCTTCAGAGAGGACCGCAGGAAGATGGACCCGTCTAATGCCACACTAAGAGGGGGCCACCCCGGGCCCAGGTCAGGACCTGGCAGCAGGGGGGGCCACCATGTACATCCCCCACCTGGCTCCATGGGCCCCCCAGGAAGCTATGGAGGTTCAGGTTCCCACAAAGACATCAAACTCACCCTCCTCAACAAGGTTTCTATCGCTTCACTTTCTCTTTTTAAAGGGTCTGTTTCTTTCTCAGTCCCCTCCAGGAAGTCACTGCTGCCAGTGAAAAAGGCGTCTGTGTGACACTTTGGTTTTTAAAAAGATGGAACATGCAAGATATTGTATTATTTGTGACATTGAGAGGTGATGGTAGTTATGTTTTATTACCTTTTTAATGCCTTTTGAATCAATAAAATATGTCCCTCCGACCACGACTGATAATCATAAGTACAGACATGTTTTCTCTGAAAGCTTTTTGTAAAAGCTACCTGTAAATTACTTCGAAGTTGAATTTATAATTGTCTGCATGTATTGTATCTTTATTTGCATTGTTTGACTCATGTGTGTTGGTTTTGCAGCAGCAGGGAGATAAGGGCAACAGGAAGAGGTACCTGCCTGCAGACAAAGAGCGGCCCGGCTCCCCCCCCAGTAAGAGGATGGCCATGTCTCCAGACAGAGGTGAGAACCAGACACGTCTTCATGTGAGGCTGTGGCTCAGTGGGTTAGTGCACTGACCTTCGTATCAGGAGAGCAAAACATGGACTATGACTGTGCTATTAAAACTTGACAGAACTTGGCATGGTTTAACGGTTGCTTAATCATTTAGTTATCTTATTAATAAAATATTGATATTTTTTTTATCCTTGCCCAATGTAGAAGTTAAGACCTTTTTATAAAAATAGATAATATTTTACAGCTGTGAGACCGTTTTTTTTTTAACCATCCTCTAAAAACCATAGTTCAGTAACAGGCGGTCCGGACCCAGACGCCGACCTATACGGAGCCGGACCTATAATCAATACATTAATAGGGGATTTCAATTTTGACGGGGCGATTCTATTTTAACCGCCGCCGACAGGGGGCGAAAGAGACGAGTGAGCGATAGAGGGAGAGAAACACAGAAGAAGAGACGAGTGAGCGGTACAGGGAGAGAAACACAGAAGAAGAGACGAGAGAGCGGTAGAGGGAGAGAAACACAGAAGAAGAGACGAGAGAGCGGAAGAGTGAGAGAAACACAGAAGAAGAGACGAGAGAGCGATAGAGGGAGAGAAACACAGAAGAAGAGACGAGAGAGCGGTAGAGGGAGAGAAACACAGAAGAAGAGACGAGAGAGCGGTAGAGGGAGAGAAACACAGAAGAAGAGACGAGAGAGCGGAAGAGTGAGAGAAACACAGAAGAAGAGACGAGAGAGCGATAGAGGGAGAGAAACACAGAAGAAGAGACGAGAGAGCGGAAGAGTGAGAGAAACACAGAAGAAGAGACGAGAGAGCGGAAAAGGGAGAGAAACACAGAAGAAGAGACGAGAGAGCGGAAAAGGGATAGAAACACAGAAGAAGAGACGAGAGAGCGGTACAGGGAGAGAAACACAGAAGAAGAGACGAGAGAGCGGTACAGTGAGAGAAACACAGAAGAAGAGACGAGAGAGCGGTACAGGGAGAGAAACACAGAAGAAGAGACAGAGAAGCGGTACAGGGAGAGAAACACAGAAGAAGAGACGAGAGAGCGGTAGAGGGAGAGAAACACAGAAGAAGAGACGAGAGAGCGGTACAGTGAGAGAAACACAGAAGAAGAGACGAGAGAGCGGTACAGGGAGAGAAACACAGAAGAAGAGACGAGAGAGCGGTACAGGGAGAGAAAACACAGAAGAAGAGACGAGAGAGCGGTACAGTGAGAGAAACACAGAAGAAGAGACGAGAGAGCGGTACAGGGAGAGAAACACAGAAGAAGAGACGAGAGAGCGGTACAGGGAGAGAAACACAGAAGAAGAGACGAGAGAGCGATAGAGGGAGAGAAACACAGAAGAAGAGACGAGAGAGCGGTAGAGTGAGAGAAACACAGAAGAAGAGACGAGAGAGCGGTACAGGGAGAGAAACACAGAAGAAGAGACGAGAGAGCGGTACAGGGAGAGAAACACAGAAGAAGAGACGAGAGAGCGGTACAGGGAGAGAAACACAGAAGAAGAGACGAGAGAGCGGTACAGGGAGAGAAACACAGAAGAAGAGACGAGAGAGCGGTAGAGGGAGAGAAACACAGAAGAAGAGACGAGAGAGCGGTACAGTGAGAGAAACACAGAAGAAGAGACGAGAGAGCGGTAGAGTGAGAGAAACACAGAAGAAGAGACGAGAGAGCGGTACAGGGAGAGAAACACAGAAGAAGAGACGAGTGAGCGGTACAGGGAGAGAAACACAGAAGAAGAGACGAGAGAGCGGTACAGGGAGAGAAACACAGAAGAAGAGACGAGAGAGCGGTACAGGGAGAGAAACACAGAAGAAGAGACGAGAGAGCGGTACAGGGAGAGAAACACAGAAGAAGAGACGAGAGAGCGGTACAGGGAGAGAAACACAGAAGAAGAGACGAGAGAGCGGTACAGGGAGAGAAACACAGAAGAAGAGACGAGAGAGCGGTACAGTGAGAGAAACACAGAAGAAGAGACGAGAGAGCGGTACAGGGAGAGAAACACAGAAGAAGAGACGAGAGAGCGGTACAGGGAGAGAAACACAGAAGAAGAGACGAGAGCGATAGAGGGAGAGAAACACAGAAGAAGAGACGAGAGAGCGGTAGAGTGAGAGAAACACAGAAGAAGAGACGAGAGAGCGGTACAGGGAGAGAAACACACAGAAGAAGAGACGAGAGAGCGGTACAGGGAGAGAAACACAGAAGAAGAGACGAGAGAGCGGTAGTACAGTGAGAGAAACACAGAAGAAGAGACGAGAGAGCGGTACGGGAGAGAACACAGAGAGAGAGAGACGAGAGAGCGGTACAGGGAGAGAAACACAGAAGAAGAGACGAGAGCGATAGAGGGAGAGAAACACAGAAGAAGAGACGAGAGAGCGGTAGAGTGAGAGAAACACAGAAGAAGAGACGAGAGAGCGGTACAGGGAGAGAAACACAGAAGAAGAGACGAGAGAGCGGTACAGGGAGAGAAACACAGAAGAGAGAGACGAGAGAGCCGGTAGAGGAGAAACGAAGACAGGAGCGATACGGGTAGAGGAGAGAACACAGAGAAGAGACGAAGAGAGAGCGTAGGTTAACGAGAGCGGTAGAGTGAGAGAAACACAGAAGAAGAGACGAGAGAGCGGTAGAGTGAGAGGAGAGGAGAGTGAACAGGCGGAGGAAAGTAACCCAATACATCTTCACCATGTTTGGCTCCACAAACAGCTGCGAGGCAGCTTTCTCCACAATGAACATTATTAACACTAAATATGGTTCCAGGCTAACCAATGAGCACCTGCATGTGTGTAATGGCCCTGACACCATTTCAGCCCAGATCTAAACTCCTGGCAGGACAAGCTCAAGCTCAATTCTCGCACTGAACCAAAGAAGTGAGTGAGAGACTGCAATATAAGAGGGACAGAAAGAGAAACTTTAAAACTGTTCAATTGTTATGATGTGACTGATATGTTCTATAATCGTCTGAAACTGTTAAGTCATGATGTGAAACGGTTAACAAAGAAAAAGGGAAACTCAAGCTGCTGCTACACTTTATTTGATTTATCTAAAATTAAGCACTTTTTAAGATGCACATAGTTTTATTTATTTTCTCTATTTTATTTTTAAATGCAGCCGGAGAGGAACATTACACACATCCACAGTATTTACTGTATATCTGTATAGTTCAATGTTAGTTGACAATAAATATTGTTGTTTATGAATTGTACTTTCTTTATTTGATTGGCAGTCAGTTGTTGATTACATGCAGACGTTGATACAGCTGCAGGCTACTTCAATATATCACACTAGTTCATAAAGCAACTTAGACATTTTGATGTTCCCGACCTTTGCATGGGGACATTTTCTCTAACTGGACCTCGTTGAATTTGAGTTGAATACCCCTGCCCTAAACCATTCAGCGTGTTCAGCCGTAGTGACTGTGAACCTGCTGTTTTTCAGGTCGGGATAAGAGGATTCCGGGCCGACCCCCACTCTCCCCCAGGATGGATCGGCCCAGAGGCCAAGGACCCCGACCCATGCCCCCCCAGGGAGACAGGTTGGTGCAAGTCATTTCTGTAGGACTCGATCACACAATAACAGATGTCAAATTGAGTTAAAAAAAAGAGATCCGTCTGGAAGAGTGAAATTCTTAAGTCTACTCTCTGCAGTGAGCATGTTCACTGAGGCCAAACACAAACGCAGAGTTTCCGAGCACACATACAAAAAGGACAACATTTTACAGAAATATTACTCTGCAAAAGAATAATAATATCATCTGGCTACGGCATCAATTCCCCAGTATCAAAGTGTTCCTGAAAAGAGATTCCAGTCAGATCTGAAGGAGGAAGGATAGACGCATTTATGAATGAATTTGTGTCCGATGATGGTTTGTAACATTAGCATCATCTTGTATACGTCAGTCAGATGGGTTGTTAGGAATTGCAAACACTACTTTTTGGTATTTTGCTAATCCTACAAACTCTTTAAGAAGTAAGGTAGGCTGTAATTTCAAATAATTTAAATGTAATGAGAAGTACAAAGAAAAAGCTCAGTTTTAAAATGTCTACATTAAAGAGTGTTTTTTTTATTGATTTGTTTTTCAGGTCAGGTTTTAAATAATTTTTTTAAGTTCAACCCTAACTCCAGCTTCTTTCCCATAGAAAACGTCCTCTGTCCCCGCCCCCCAAGTCTTCTGGAAAGGGCCCAGCGGCGCCTCCAGGGAAGCCAGCGGCCCCCGGCCCCCCCCCCGGTTGCCGGCTCGGGCTCGGGCTCCGGTAAACCCAGCAACACACTGTCCCGTCGAGAGGAGCTGCTGAAACAGCTGAAGGCTGTGGAGGACGCCATCGCCCGGAAACGGGCAAAGATCCCCACCAAATAGACGCACCCCCGCTCCTCCCTGCTGCCTGTGCGGCCCCGTGGTGGGCAGCCATGAGGGCCATGGGGCCGAGCGTGGTGCCCCTGCCTTCAAAAGACGTGTAAAAAGTTACTATTTTGTGAAAATGAAGTGGCCGACTGGAAAATCATTTTGTGCTTTTCTGCCTCAGAGAGGTTTGGCTCTGCTCCATTCTAGAGAGTTTTCTCCCCCCCCCCCCCCCACACTTGGTGTAGACTTGACAGTAGAGAAACAGCAGGGTGGGGGGGGGGGGGGCTCGATCATCTGCTGCTCCCTTTGCCCCTTCAGTCAAAAGGAGGCATCTTGGCTGTTCTGGTGTGATTAAAAAAACAAAAGGAATTCTAAACATTGAATCAGCTTTGGTCTGTCTCTGCCTATAGTGTTCCATCACAGCACTTCTTCACTTTCTGTGTGGAGTGTGTGATCGTTGGCTCGGCTCTACATGGCACGACAACACTTCTTTGTATAAATCTGCAAATTCTTGAACATCTGTATTTGGCCCCTGTGAGCGATCACAGGCCCATGTTTAACCAATGACTTGTGTGCTCTGTGTTTTAGGGCAGTGTTCACTGTCGCATCTTGTAAAATAATAGCAAGTCATCAAATTCTTTCAAGCGTATGATTAGAGGCAACAGTGTTGTGAAGTATTGTTTTTCTTTCTTTTAAAAAATCTACAGCATTTTGTTTTCTTATTAGCTCTTAAGTAATAAACTGTTTTATTTGTGTCACATTTTTAGTTGGAGTGAGAGTTGGATCAGAGACATTTAGAGACAAAATGTGTCTTGCTTTTGTGACAAAAGACTTCTAAATAAACTATTTTGATAAAGAGGTCAGTTGCCTGTGTTTTTCTTTGCACCAAGGAGTGGGTGTTTAAATGAAGATGCACTTAATGCATGCGTTGTTCAGCATAAAGGATGTGGAATATACAGAATACCCTAAGAATAATGTCTCTAGAACTGATCTACAGTACAAACTTCTACTTATTCCACCAGCAGATCAACATTTCACCGACCCTGTGAAGTGTCTCAATGTCTACCTGATGGACTGTAATGACATGCAGTACAGAGTTTAGTCCCTGGAGGAAGAATCCCTCTGACTGTGGTCACTTCCTGTCCTGTGCCACCACGAGCTTCACAATGACGGTGTTCAAACAGCCATTTGGTTCATGAATGAAGACATTCATGGTTCCCTCAGAATGAACTATATTGATAGTAACACTAGAAATGTCCATGTGGGGCCAGGTCAAGACGAAGTTGCAAAAAGGAATGACAACCTCCTCAGCTGTAGCTGGGGATAAGTACACATTGTCAAATGTTATCATGCCTACACACTAAACTGAGATGGTGAGCATTACACCTGCTAAACTGTAGCATGTTAGCATTTAGCTTCATGCTAGCCTGGCTGCACATTTTGGAATTGATACCCAGATCAAAATGCCAACAGAAAAACTGCACAATTTCAATGCCTTTTAAAAGTCAATTAGTGTAAAACAGTTTAAAACCTTTGTAACCTGACAAAGATATACATTTTAGTTAACATACACCTTTTTGTTGGATGCACTGTAACCGTTAGCAACAGAATCAGAATACCTTTATTCGTCACAGAGGGGAAATGTACATTGTTACAGCAAAAATAAAACACTACTAGAAAGGGCATGCAGATAACATTTAAAATAAAAAAGTTATTTCAATTTACAAGTAACATTTGTAACACATTTTCGAATGTTCATATTGCTATTTATTATTGTTATTGCAAAACAGTGGTGTGTGTGTGTGTGTGTGTTTGAGTGTGTGTGTGTGGGCCTCTACCAGGGGCCGTGGTGGTTGTAAAGTCCAACACTAGAAACTGTTCAGACTAAAAGTTTGGAGTGACTAAAAAAAGTATTAAGATCAAAATGTATAAAAATATTTCACCATGATAGTATTTTACTAATAAGAACTCAATACATTGACAAAGTCAGAACATGTTTCTTTTTATAGAATAAATTGTTCCTTGCAGAATAACTGCTCTGTTTTTTTTGTTGCCATTTTAAAATGTTTCTTTATAGCCATGGTCCATCAGTTTGGTCTGGCCTGAAATATCTCAACACAGATATTCATGGCCCAAAGGATGAACACAAATTACTTTTTAGTGCCACCAGAATTTACTTTAAAACCACAGGTTAAAAATGTAATGAAAGGATCAATTAACACAACTACAAAGACACAAAACAACCGCAAAAAGAGCGAGAGCTGGTGGGGCTTTTGTTAACCCTTCATGGCGTGCACTTCTGATTGCATGCGTCTCTAATGTTAACGTTTAATGCGTGAGAGTTGCAGCTGGAACCGGTTAAACCAGTCTTGCACATTCTTTCTCTCACGAAAGCATTGTGGAGTCTTCCCGCCGAGCAGAAGTATCTTTGGTATACATTTAAACTACAGACAAACAAGTGTGTTTCTGGTATACATTTAAACTACAGACAAACAAGTGTGTTTCTGAAACTGCGGAGTGATTTAGTCATCTCTTAAGCAGCTTCTTATCTTTCCTCTTCTCTTTATGAAGTGAACAGTATGGGAAACGTGTATATAGTGATGTGTTTCTTAAGAAAGCTGTTAAGTGTGAATCAATAATTAAACACCAGAGGAAACACGTTGCCTGTTTTAGCCTCCTGAATAAAAACGAGTTTCTTACCCAAGCACCCCCAAGTTGTCTCCATAATCAATTTAAATTCAAACATACTTAATGAGAATGAGGAAAACAAGTTTATAATCAAGACACTAAAGTGATGGCTTCTTAAAATGGGCCGCTGGGTTTTGGTGTGAATAATTATCTTTAAATGTGCCATTTACAGTACTTAAAGTGAGTTATAGCTAGGAATGTCCCACTAGGACTCTCCATATAGAGAGGGCTTTATAGGACGGTGAATGGTCAGTCTGTCATCTGGAGAGGAGGAACAAATTAATATGTAAGAGCTATTTTCTGAATGCTGCTGTATTGCATGTAGGAAATCTTTTTCGGACCCTGTGACCTTTATCTGAGCCAGAAATTTGCTTAGTTTTCCATAATTGGGACATGATTGAATAAACATCCCTAGTTTTTTTTTTCCAGTGGAAGGATTTAACAGTTATAGAACACTTAAATTCAAGAAACATGATCCAAATGTCTGGAAATACTTTCAGCTCACCCAGTCGATGGCACAGTTATCATCAGTTCAACCAAAGATTATGTAAATTAATATTTATGTGCCCCTCAACTTTCTCCCTCACCATAATCTCTATCATGGTGGTTTTCCCATCTCATCTCCGCCCCTGATACTGTTCCCTCTTTTTTAAATGATTCACTGCGGCAGTGAATCATTTAAAAAAGAGGGAACTCAGGGGCGGACTGGCCATCTGTGTGTTCTGGAGAATCACAGACGGCCGGCCCGGCCCGCTTTTTTTAAACCTCATCATTTCAGTTGCGCTGACAGGCGACAGAGGTCCACAGTTTCCCCGCAGGCAGGCTCCCCCCCGCCCCCCCGTTGACAGTTCACGAGCGTGCTCTTTGCTGCCAGCACTTTCCCAGAAGTCCCTGCTCTGCATACACACACTCTGGTGTTCATGTCTGCAGAGGCTTCACACAGATCGATACATTCCAAGGGGACTGACCGGTGGAAATTCAACTGTGAATGCCCCTAACACACCCAGGCTGATAAGAGGACATTCCCTCTCTTTCGTTTAAAATATCCCATAGGGCCTATGTACAATTCTGTTTTGGTTTTAGGTTTGCTTTTCTTAGTTTTCATTATTTGGTTTGACATCAGGCTAAGCTAGAGGCTAAGTGCAGACCTTTGGCAGGTGAAAAGTGTGTATCCACCTTGGGATTCAGATTTGCTTCACGGGTAATGGGCTTATCCTTGGCCCATTGGCCCAAGTTTCATAAAAAGGAACCAGTAGTTTTTCTATCATTCTAATCACAAACAAACACAAACGAAACATATCCTGCTAAGCAAAGGTCCTCCAGACAGGAGACAGGGCAAAGGAGGGCCAGACAGTCGCTTCAGCAAATGCCCCAATATGATATTAATAAATGTGAAAATGACATCAAACGTTCAGCGGGCAAAGGGTGATGTTATTTGTAATATAATATCATGACATGTCACGATATTATAGAGCCACAAAGTGCACAGCAGGAAGTTGAGGTGGTTGGACATCTGAGCGCTCTCACTTTTCTGCTTGCTTCCTGTTTTCTGCCGACAGTCAATGCTTTTTTTTTTTTTAACCATGACTACAATCAGTTATTATTTTAACACAATGTTCCCTTAATCTTTATCAAGCCGTGATTGTGCCTAAACTTAACCAGCCAATATTAGATCATTGAAATGGTTTAATTATGAGGTAACAGCTGTGGTGTCATGGTTTGTCAAGATTGCGGACCCACAAGCAGTATAAACAAGGAGGCAGGTAAGGGCATGTAAATAAAGGCAAGCTTTTAATTAAATAAAAAGCTGTTTCAATGCAAAAATATACAGGAGCAGGCAAGGGGGAACACATAGGAAAGTAACACACAAAACAAACAGGGGCCATAGGAGAGTAGAACAGGGAAATCCAGAAATCCAGAACACCAGGAACAAGAACCAAACCACCATAAAACGACGACGAACTGACAAGGGACACTTGGGGTGTTTCTCAATGTCGAGGACGCTTCCTTGGTAGGACAAGTCTTCCGAGTCAGGTCCTTCAGAAGCGAGGCAAGAATCCTTCCGAAAAACGAAGAATTGTGGAACAGGCTAAGGTGTGCGTCATATGCGAGGCCCCGCCTTAAATGGAGCGTGATTTCCGCCAAAGATTTTGGAAATTGGTCCGTGCGCAAAGCATTGTGGGGATTTTAAGACCGCGGAGGATACACATGTGCAGCCTCGAAATTTCCCGCAACGAAGGACGCCGGCCTCGGTAGAATTCCAAGGATCCTGGACATTGGAACAGTCCTTCGGCGGGACTGGATGACGTAGCATCCTTGAAATAGTGGCTCTGGAGGAGCCGTAGGACTGTTCCAATGTCCAGGATCCTTGGAATTCTACCGAGGACTGAATCCTTCGTTGCAGGAAATTTCGAGGCTGCTCATGTGTATCCTCGGTGGTCTTAAATTACCCACAATTCTTTGCGCATGGACCAATATCTATAATCTTTGGCGGAAAATGGCTGAATCCAGGCAGTACACATTTAAATGTAAGTATGTTCAGTGGCGTAGTAAATGTGCACATGACTTGTGTTTAAAGTTTATAGTCCGTTTGAGTTTTGCCCGTGTGAGCTCAAACCGAACCTTCTGAAAAATGAAACAATGTAACAAACTGTCGTCTGTTGCGCACCAGAGAAGCGGACTATTAGGTTTGAATGAGACCTTAGAGCGTTTTGCACCTAAATAAATAATTTAAATTAACCTTGTTTTGACTTTGCCTCTTTTGTTGATATTTGTGGTTTATGCTACAACGTGCACCAATATGTGTAAAAAAGGTTTGCAGACATCAAGTATGATATGAATTCAAATGTTATTATTGATTGGTGATGGTGATTTTATGATTTACTTATGGCTGCTTATCCTCCAGGACTTTTTCAAGGCTGCAAACAGAAGGAGAAGGTTTTATGTTCTGTCCTGGAGAGATGATCATTTTACAAAATACAGTTACTCAAGTAGGCTACATCTTCGCAAATCAGTTACGCAGCGTCCACACGGCGGTGTGCATTGAAGCTTGCCGGTGGGCGTGTCTGAAACTCGACCAACAACCAATCACATGAATCTCCCGCCCCGGACACACAAGCACGCGGTTTGATTGGCTAGAGCTTGTCCTGGCATATGATTTGATTGGCTGACGCTTCCGTCGAAGCTTCAAAAGTTGAACATTGCTCAACCTTTGAAGCGAGCAACGCGAGCAAAGCGAAGCGACGCTCCCACAATGCAGTTCGGCAAAGTGTCAACGCACGCCGCCGTGTGGACGGGCCGTTATGAGTCTTCAAACAAGTCGCGCTCAATAAGGCGGGGCCTTGCATATGACGCACACCTGCTAGCCTGTTCCATTCTGCGTTCTCCGAATGCTAGGAAGGATTCTTGCCTAGCCTCTGAAGTACCTGACTCGGAAGGACATGTGCTACCAAGGAAGCGTCCTGGACTTTGAGAAACACCCAAGGGCAAGCAAGACTAAATACACAAGGGTAATCACAAGACAAGACACAGCTAGAGAGGGGAGGTGAAACAACAGGTGAACACAATCAGACGATCAGACAGGATGGAACACACAGACAGGAAGCAAAGGCAGACATGAGACAGGGAGTCAACACCTTTCAAAGTAAAGCAGGAAAACAAAGACAGATCTTGACAATACAAAATAAAACACAGACAGATCGTGACAAGTGGTACTTGATTTAATAGAAGTAAAAGTAGCACTACTCATTTGTAGAAATATTCTATTACAAGTAAAAGTCTTGCTTTTAAAATCATACTTATAGGCATAACATTTACTAAAATCACCAAAAATCAAAGTACTATAATATTATGATTACTTATGCATTCATGTGTTTATCACGGCTGGTAAATGTGCAGCTAATTACAATTACTTTATTGCTGTTGCCACAGCGTCATGCTGACTGCAGTGGGGATTGAACCAGTGCTCCCCGATGCAAAGATCTGCGCACTAACTCACTGAGCCACAGCATCCCTCCCCAGATAAATGTAAAAAGTCAAATAAAGTGGCCATTCACTGTATGCTAAAGCCACATCTATACATGGAATTGCCCCTGATGTCATATTCAACTTGATGATTTCTAAGACCATAGGATGTGATGTCATTAGGAGTGATGTGATGTAATCATCAGATGTATTCAGAGTGTTAGTGTTGTAATCCTGTAAGGCTGGAGTCTCCTCATATCAGCAAGATTTACACAAAGAGAAAAACCACAAAGGAGGGCTAAGAATAGCTGTCACCTTATCTCCCCCAAAGGCAGCTCTAATGGCCGCTCACACAAACTCTGCTGGAAATTCTCAAGCATCGTATTACTGCATCAGCACACACACTCTGACACAGTGTGTGTGTGGGTGCGTTCATGCAAATGACTAAGTGAAGTGTTTCTTGTGTCCTGAAAGAATTAATTAATACATGGATAAATGTCAAATGAAACATCTTCATTTAATGATAAGGGTTCAATTGTTTTGAATGTAAGAAACCATTAAATGTTCTAAAACAAACCACCAAAATAAATGTTTTTATCAATTTGAGCTTTTAGTGTTATAATATCTAAATGAATACAATGTATATTCCTTTTTTTTCTGAGAGTCCTGAATAAATAAATGAATACATTTATATGCGTCGAACAGCAAATGTCAGCAAATAAATACATGCTGTTTTGTTCTAAAATAAAACTGTTTCCTGAAATAAACAGGTAACTAGATGGCTAAAGAAACGATCAAATAACAATGATATTAGTCTTAGTTAAATGAATGTATGCGAAATATGATATAAACCAACACATGCACATACATAAACAATGTAATGAAGTTATAAACAGTCACAATAAATGGTGTGTGATAAAAGGAGATCTGTACACACACCAGCCTGGAAGATTGGATGGGCTGAAGTTAGAGCGATCAGCTGCTCTATGGTTATTAGCTCAGGTGGGAAAGGTCAACAGGGCACTCTGTGTTTGACAGCATATTTCCTGTGTGCCGTCAGCCTCTGCACCCAACTGTGTGTGTGTGTGTGTGTGTGTGTGTGTGTGTGTGTGTGTGACACTAATGACAGATGATGGTGTGAGTAGACTCACGCCTGCCCGCTGCAGGATACTTTCACTAAGGAAAGGGGAAGTAGATCATACTGAATAACGTTTCCATTTCCTCATGCCGGTTATTCCCAGAATGCGCAGGTATAAATATCTCAGGTGAGAGGATGGAGGCAGGTAAATCAGAGCAGATCCAGCAGCAGCAGACACACAGAAGACATAGAGACAGGATGGACATCAAGCAGGTACGTGAGAGACAGACAGACAGACAGACAGACAGACAGACAGACAGACAGACAGACAGACAGACAGACAGACACACACACACACACACACACACACACACACACACAGACTGAAATGTTGACTTTAATTAAATGTATTGCTGTATGTCAAAAAATGTACACATAATTGTATAAGTTAGTTGAAAGCAATACTATTGAGTTCAACGTAATATTATTGCTTTCAACCGACCTAGTACAATTATGTGAGCGTTTTTTGTCATAATACATTTCATTAAAGTCAAGGTCTCAGTTTGTTCAGTGTAGAACACAGATGCTGGTCCTGCTCCGTCCCTTCAGCTGTGTGCTCCTCCACAGATCCTCCTCTTTGGGCTCCTCTTTGGGCTCCTGGCCCCCGGCTGGTCTCTGAGGAGCAACCGCTGCCTCCCTGAACAGGATCTGGAGGAGGCAGCGAAGAGGGAGCTGAGCCACTTCCAGGGGCCCCCACAGAACCAGGAACCGCTGGGCCCCTCGTACTCCTGCCCCGTGGAGATGTTCACGCAGCAGCCCCCCACACACCTGAAGGACAGATCTCTGTCCCCCTGGGGATACATGTAAGTAACACGCGGTGCACTCACATGTCAGGTCTGTTTAGAACCTGCAGCAGGGGGTCAGGGGCTTGAAAGGGTGAGACCCCGTCATTGGTCCCTGATGGAGTGTGGCTGGATCAAACAGAGGAAATATTTCTCTGTGGTGAAGGAAACATCAAACATGACCGGACTGCTTCATACGTGCTTGTGTCCTAGTTCAAGATCATGTTGGGAAAGTTGTGAGGGTGATGTGTTGTAAGTTGGGAGGGGGAAATATTTCCATAAAAGGTCCTCAAGCTTTGATAGATCCCAAAATATGTATGAACTATTATTATTTATATTAAAAATCTTAAAATATTCAAGCAAAAGATTTATTTTTAATCAATATCTATTTTTTTTTCTTTCTCATATTGTTATCAACTTCTTATCTATAACATGTATGATCTTGTTATAATTGAAGCATTTCATGCTTTGTTGGCATATATAGAATGGTGCAGCTCTAACACTCAGCATCTCTCAGCATCATGAAGCTGCAGTGAAACTATGAGGTGATGAAAACACATTTGCACAATAGTTGCGTAAGTGATCTTGGTTGTTTATTGAAGGCAGTGCTGGTATTGGTGCAACGCGCCCGGCGGCTCCACTCAGGACAGGGAATTCCCCCCCGACATCACCAAAGCTCTGTTGGCACATTTCTGCTGGGAATGACGCAAATTGCCACTGAGTAAAACGTGGAATCCGTCATCTGTATTAACTGTCTGTGTGTCTGTGATTGGAGAGTGTGCTTCCTGTTTACAGTCCTCAGCTTTCTGAAGTCAGTAATGTTCCAAACTCACGGTGGACACAATTTTAAGTTGTTGAGTTTCCCAAAAACAGTGTCAGTGTGTGACTGTGTGTCACTTAAGACTATCTGGATTCAACAAAAGGATATTTATGAATATGGACCTAAACTTAAGACGAAAACTAGACATTTGGACAGATTTTTGAGGTCTTCAGTGGAGAAAATAAACGAAGTATTTCCATGTTATGCTAATTCCACTCTTCAGAGAGAACTATTATCTTTGTCTTATAACAGCTACAGCTCAGGAAAAAATAAAGAGACCACTCCACATTGTTCTTGAATGTCAATCTCTACATGTATGGCAGCCATTCCATTCCAGTGTCTGTTGAATTCCAAAACAGAGAAATGTTGTCAGTAGTTTAGAGAATAGAATAAAAGAAGGTTCATTTGACTCAAACACATACCTTTAAATAGTAAAACCAGAAAGACTGATAATGCTGCAGTGCTCTGATAGAGCTGAATCAGTTCAGGTTTAGAAATGCATAAAACAACTGATATGTTTATAAAATGCAACACATTGATATATATTAAACCAGTGATTGAATTCTCTTTTGGCATGATAAGTCGAACAGAAAGCAGCCTGGTTGGAGTCTCTCCTCACATTTCAGATACCCCATAATGATGCTGTGCACACAATGACTGTGAAACAAGATTCACTGATGCAATGTTTGCAAAACATTCTGAATCCTGTGTTGGCTTGGTCATTATGGGGTGTTGATTGTGGTGAGGGAAGATGCATTTAAAATACTTTAGAATATGATAACTTGTTTAACAACAGTCATACAGTCATTTGGAGCCCTAATGGTTCGGGTCCTGGGGCGATCATGACCTCTGTTCATTTGGTAACACATGACACGTTGAGTCTGGACTCAGGCCAAGATAAAGAGGAGTGCCCTCCAGATGACACCACTGTCTCTCTGAATAAACATTATGGGGTGTAACATTTCTCTGTCACCTCTCCTCCCCGTCTCACTGACTCATTTTGTTTCTTCCCAGACTTGAAACGATGGAAGATCACTTTCCCTCCACCTATTACAGGGCTCAGTGTCTGTGCACTGGATGTGTGCTGATCCAGAACTCAAAGCTGGTGGAGAGCCACGACTACAACTCAGCACGAGTAGTACAGAGCAGGGTGTTTCTGAAGAAGGAGCTCTGCAGGGACAAGAAGAAGTACCGCTTGAAGCCCGTCAGAGTGGAGGTGGCTGTGGGCTGCACCTGCACCAGAGCCAACAGCACCCCCTAGAGGGATCTAGCAGAGCAGCCGACACCACAGTGCATGTTGTGTTTGTTTTAAAATGCAACCAGTTATCGAGGGTCAGACTCAGGGTGATGAGGGAACATCTCCAGCGGCTCTCTGACCAATCACTGCTGAGGCTTCAAAAATCAAAAGTCACACCCGCCTGTACGTATAGGTATATTTATTGTCATTATGTCTGACATATGATGCATCGAAAATGTTTTCTGTAGGTCTATTTAGGCCTTAGATTTGATCCTGACTTGTTTAAAGCTCTGCCTAGTGCAGCTTATGTAAATGAGATATACTACATAATGTACTTATTTTTATATTGATGGGCTTGTCATCCAAAAAATTAGCTATTGTATAGTTTTGCAATTTAATAATTTATATAATAATATTTATAACTATTTATTGGGTTTGTTTTGCATGTGAAACGTTTGAGTTTATGGAGATTTTGAATGCTCAGAGTTATTGAGTGGATGAGGTGAATTTTATATTTATTTATGTTGCATATCTTGTAGATGTTGTCCCAGTGGGACATAACAAGTCTGATAAAGACTGAAAGTTCAGCTTCTTTGAAGCAAAATAAAGAAACATGTTTGAAAGTAAACAAATTCTCTGGCTTCTTTATTGTTATCCTTTCAACATAATTATTTAACATTTGTAGGATCCAGGTTTATTTGTCCAGAAAGAGTGGGTGTGTGCAGTGTGAAATACATTGCATTTTAAAATGAAGTTATAGTTAGGGTTTAGTTATAGTTAGGGTTAACTCTATTTGCATTTTTTTGTTTTAAAGGTAGGGTAGGTAAGTTTGAGAAACCGGCTCGAGATACACTTTTTGTTATATTCCATGGAATGCTCTTAACATCCCGATAGCAATAAATATCTTAAGTGCTTTGAAATTGGGAGATCCCGATTTTTTTTTTTTTCAGCTAGCGACTGTATATGGGGACGATAGGTTGGGACGTTGACAGGAGTTTAACGTAAAGCCAGCCCACATTTTAGTAATGAAGTGAAGCAGCACATCTGGATCAGCTCCGTTGTTCCCCCGTTTTTAGACATGTGGGTAAGGAGGAAAAGAGAGAGGGTTTTATTTTCTGACACTTTGAGTCTCCTTACACACACATATTTATGTAGAAAAGACATCAAAAGTGCATTTTGCATAATAGGTGACCTTTAAAGTCTATATAATGGGGCTCAGATCAGATGATCAGGGGGGAGTCCAGCTTCAGAAAGCTGCTGTACGGCTAACACCTCCACCAAGCTCCAGCAGCAACCTCGGGGCAGTACAATGGGCAGCGGCTGTACACTGCTCCATGCTGTGTGAAAATCATACATTTGGAGTATTTGAAAACACTACTGTAGTTGGAGAAACACTTTGAGGATGTCAAAAGGAGATAACTGTGCTTTAAAATGGTAATCTAATAACAAATGAATTGACTTCTCAGTCAAATAACAGCAATAACAGTAAATTGTTCTATTTATTACTTTATCAAAGCATTTTATACAAAGTGGGAACACAAACACTTGTTGAAAATGATTTCAGATCAACATCTGGAAAGACACTGCCACTTTTATGTAGCAAACTTCTTCTGGCGGACAGGTGCAGGCAGCTGCGACAGGATGTCCAGCAGGGGGCGCTCCACCACCACCAGAGAGTGGTCCTCCAGCAAACGCACACACAGCAGGTGCTGTGGGAATATCAGGGGGAAATAAATCAGTACGATTGATGGCAAAATGAACTATAATGCTTGTTTGCAAAATTAAATGTGTATCTGTGTGGCTAACAGGGTCTCTGTATATGATGCCCTTTAATAATCTAGCAGAGAACCTTCAGCTCTGATCCGATTGAACAGTTGCAATTAAAGTTATTCAACCCCTATTGCACATTAAGCTTATTTGCACAATATACCATTTCTCAGCTGTTTGCAATAAAACAATTACACAAGAACTGTTTTAGTATTTTAATGAAACTAATATTACAAGGGTTTTTATCCAAATTCAACAGATAATGCTACTTTTTTTTTTTTTTTTTTTACACTTATGCTTTTATTGAGTTTTCACAACAATAATAACAGAACAAGAAAACATAATACACACAAATCAGTTGTAAAATAAAGCACAATAAATACTAGTTGTCTGAAGACCTTCAATATTCACACATACCGTACAGGATTGAATTAGTCATTCACTTACTCATTGGTGTCAACCATGTAAATATTCCACTTTTCCCATTTCCTATTGAATGCATTCTCTTGGATTCTCAAAACATATGTCAGCTTTTCCATGACGAAAATATCTTGAACAATTTCCAGCCACTGCTCCTGAGTCGGAGCGTTCACATTAAGCCAATTCCTAGTTATAGCTTTCTTACTCGCTGCAAGTAAAACCTTAATCAAATATAGATCGCCTCCCATCACAACATCCTTAATGTTCCCAAGATACATCACCGGGCAGGTATTTGGGATTCCATAACCCAAAATAATTTTGACAACTGCATTAACCTTCTCCCAATATGACCTTATCTTTGTACAGTTCCAGAAAATGTGTGAGTGGTTAGCCTCCATGTTGCCACACAACCTCCAACACTGTTGCTGTACACCAAGTTGCCTGCTCTTTATTTTGGGTGTTATGAAAAAGCGAGTCAGGTTCTTCCAGCAGAATTCCCTCCATACTAATGAGTTTGTGGATGTAAATTGCGTCTCGAACATTTGAAACCATTCTTCCTCTGAAATTTTAATTTGTAACTCTACTTCCCATTTTGCTTTTATGTAGATAGTCGATTCCCCCCTGTTTCCCCCCAAAGCCTGGTAGAAAGCAGAAATTATCCGGGACCCCTTCTGCTGATACGCATCCACAATCACCCCAGTTACAGTATCTACAGATTCATCTGCATTCAGCTTTATCTCTTTTACAAAATAGTGTCTTAGCTGCATGTATCTAAAATAATCCCTGTCTGTAATACCATATTTTGCCTGTAATTCCTGAAAACCCATCAATTCACCCTTTTCTGAAACCGTACACATTGCTGTTATGCCCTTTTGCACCCATTCTTTGAATGCTGGATCGTACACACCTGGTTTAAAATTGGAATCGTATGCAAACCACCTCAGCGTGCGTATCCCTCTCTTTAATTTGTATTTTGCTACTACAACATTCCAGACCTCTAGTGTAAACGCAACTATCGTATTAATTTCACCTCTCAGAGCCTTCACCAAATTCCTATCTCCTACCAAGGCCTGAATGTGGTGACCCTGTACCTCCCTTTCCATGGCTTTCCATCCAGACTCATAATCTGGTCTACACCAGTAGGCCAAAGGTCTGAGTTGGGCTGCATAGAAGTATTCCCTAAGATTTGGTAAAGCCATTCCCCCCTTACTTTTAGGCAACTGAAGTGTCGTAAATCGTATTCTTGGTTTTTTACTATTCCAAACAAATCTAGAAATCATCCTGTCCCAGGTTATGAATTTTTTTTGGGGAACATCAATTGGAAGAGACTGAAAAAAATACAGCAGCCTAGGTAGGATATTCATTTTAACCGTTTGTATTCTGGCACTGAAGTCTAAAGGGAGGGTGGACCACCTTTCTACATCCTTTCGGATATTGTCATCAATTTTGTTATAATTGGCTTCAAACAGGTTGGAAAATGTTTTGGTTATAGTTACACCAAGATAAGTCATTGTTTTGGAATTCCATTTTAGGTTATATGCATGTCTAATTTGTTGGGATGGGGAATAATTGAATGAGAGAATTTGAGTTTTTGTTACGTTCACTTTATACCCTGAATAGTAACCATATGTGTCGAGTAGGTTCATCAGGTTTGGGAAACATACATCTGGTTGCTCAAGGAAAACTATAACATCATCCGCAAAAAGCCCAATGATATGATCTTCCCCCCCTATATTGACACCCTGCAGGTCTTCACTCTGCCTTATTGCTTGCGCCAATGGTTCAACAAATAAAGCAAAGAGAGTAGGAGAGAGACAGCAACCCTGTCTAGAGCCTCTCTCCAGCTGAATCCTATTGGACAAACTCCCATTTACTTTGATCCTAGCCGTAGGTTCGTGATAAATAGTCTTAATACACCGAATTGCATTTTCATTTAAACCAAACCTCCTTAGTACTTCATATAAAAAAGACCAACTGACACTGTCAAACGCTTTTTCTGCGTCCAGACTAACCAGAACCATACTCGTGCCCTTTTTATGCGCATTGTCTACGATATGGAGAGTCCTTCTGATATTGTCTTGTGTTTGGCGTCCTCTAATGAAACCAGTTTGATCTTCATGAATAAGATCTTGCATAAAAGTCTCAAATCTTTTACAGATAATTGAGGTAAACAGCTTGTAGTCCACATTTAAAAGAGAAATTGGCCTATAATTTTTACAGTGGTCTTTGTCTTTGCCTTCCTTAGGCAAAATGGAAATAATTGCTTCCCTCCAAGATGGGGGAGCCCTGCCTTCTTTAAGAGTCCAATTAAAACAAGACAGAAGCAGAGGTGTTAGCTCCTTCGTGAAAGTTTTATAGAACTCTGGTGGGAACCCATCGCTGCCCGGTGATTTACTGGTCTTTAGCCTACTGATTGCAGCTTCCAACTCTTCAACTGTAAATTGCGACGTAATGGTGTCATTCTGTATCTCACCTATAGATGGCAGATCAAGAGAGTTAAGAAAGTTTCTTATTGTGCTTTCATCAGCTAATGGTGGATTAGAGTAGAGTGTCTTATAGTATTCTTCAAATATTCTTTCTATCTCATCTGGCTCATATAGTAGTTGGTTAGTTTGGGGGTCCCTTGTTCTATGAATTGTATTAGAGGCTTGCTGTTTGCGCAGGCGTCTAGCCAGGAGTCTAGCTGCTTTTGAGCCTGATTCATAATAAGACTGCTTTAAAAACCTTGCCTTTTTTTCTATTTCTCCTCTAAGGATCTCATTTATCTCCCCCCTTGTTTCCTTAATTTGTTGTAATGCCGATTGATCCCCTGTACTCTTATGTTTTGTCTCCATTTCTCTCAATTTTTCTATTTTGTATTTGTATGTGGCTAGCCGGGCCTTTTTTTGTGATGCTGTTAGGGCGATCAGCTTTCCACGGAGAACAGCCTTCAAAGCATCCCACAGTATCCCAGGGTCCACATCCCCATTATCATTCTCCTCTATATATATTTGTATCTCTTCCCTTAACTGTTCCACGGTCGCCTTATCATTCAAAACACCCACATTGAGCCTCCACACTGTATTCTTTTGTCTACTGTTCAGATTTATTGACAAGCTAATCATATTATGATCCGAAACATCTGCCACCCCGATTTTACTCTCTGTGATCCTGTGACTTTCACCCGTATTTATTAAAAAGTAGTCAATTCTGGAGTACACAGAATGGGGCACTGAATAGTGTGTATAATCCCGTTCTAGGGGGTGAAGTTCCCTCCAAATATCAATTAGTCCCATTTCCTGCACTGACGCATTAACAAACTTGGTCAGGTGCTTCTTGCTATTTTTGTGACTTGTAGTGTCTATGGTATGATTCAGGACCACATTAAAATCCCCTCCACATATCAAAATACCCTGTCTCTAATGCAATGACGTCAAACAGATTTTTAAAAATAGATTTGTTACTCTCTGGGGGGGCATATACATTGACCAATGTCACCACTGCATTTTCAAGCTTTCCTTTCACTAATATATATCGTCCCTCTTTGTCCCTAACTTCTTTATGGAGTTCAAATTTAACTGCATTTGAAATAAGGATAGCCACTCCCCTCTTCTGGCTAGGTTTGTAAGAACTATAGAACGTATTTTTAAAACCAAAGCGTTTTAATTTTTCATGCTCCTGTTGAGGCAGATGAGTTTCTTGTAAAAA